AGGGGGAGGGTTAGTGGGAGGGGTAGGGGAAAGGAAAAATGATGAGAAATAGAGCACAAGAGAGCCCAGGATTTAGCTCAGTGGCACCATGCCTGTCTCACAAGCACAAGGTCCTAAGTTTGATCCCTGGTACCACCAGAAAAAAAAAAAAGGAAAGAAAGAGCATTAGGGCAGTATCCAATGACAGGGGCTACCAAGTATATTCTGGACACAACTGAGTGTCTGTGATGATACAGATGGAGGGCACAGCCCCACAACAACAGGCACAGAAGCAATCAGACAAGCCCTCCCTTCCCTTTTTTCTTATAGCCTTGCAATGGGTTTCAAACATTTTTCTGCCTTTCAGAGAAATAGTTCACCCCACTGCTCCTTTCAGTCAAAAACAGGCTACTCATGGCATTGCTCCTGGTAGAAACCAGAAGGCAGCTACAGAAATACTGTACCAGGTAAAAAAGTGAAGTCATTTCCTCAGCTATGAATTGACACAGACTTATTAAAGACATCCTGGAAGTTTAGTCAGAAATGGTTTAAATCCTAGTTCAGCCATTCAAAAGCAATGTGATCCCTTCTGCATACGTGTGTATAATACAGACTTCATGGTATAACTGAGGATCAAATGCTATATACTAGCCAAACCTTTAGCACTGGGGTGGTGCTGTTTATCTCTTAATCTCATTTCCCCAGGATGGGAGAGGGTAAGTATTTAGAATTAGACTAGGCCTGGTGATGCAGCTTAGTGGTCCACTGCTCACAGAGCATGTGAGGCCCAGGGTTTGACTTTCAGCAAAAAAAAAAAAAAATACGAAGGGAATGGTGGCACACACCTGTAATGTCAGCACTTGGGAGGCTGAGGCAGGACTGTTGAGTTTGAGGCCAGCCTGAACAACATAGACCCTGTCTCAAAAACACAAAAAACAACAGTAATGATAAAAAAATAATTTTTTTTTTAAAAATCAGGCCATCAATTGCCTGATTAAATGTTTAATAAAGGCTGGTTCCCTAAACCTTTCCATTGTTGTTAGGACCAGAATCTTGTCACTATTCTCAAAAATATGAAAGGCAGTGGTAAACCATATGCCTAGCATATGCAAGGCCCTGGGTTCAATTCCCAGTACTGTCCTCTGCCAAAATAAAAAGTCATGAGCAGAGTATGGTGATGCATGCCTGTAACCCCACTACTTGGGAGGTTGAGGTAGGAGGATCACTGAGAGTTCGAGGCCAGGCTGGGCCATATAGTGAGTTCAAGGGCAGCCTGAACTACATAGCAAGACCCTGTCTCAAAAAAAAAACACAAAAAGGGTCGGGGATTTAGCTCAGTGGTTCCACTGCCTGCCTCGAAAGCACAAGGACCTGAGTTCGATCCCCGGTACCAAAAAAAAAAAAAAGGATTTTTATATTTTGGGCTGGGGATTTAGCTCAGTGGTTCCACTGCCTGCCTCGAAAGCACAAGGACCTGAGTTCGATCCCCGGTACCAAAAAAAAAAAAAAGGATTTTTATATTTTGGGCTGGGGATTTAGCTCAGTGGTTCTGCTGCCTGCCTTGCAAGTGCAAGGACTCGAGTTCAATCCCTGGTACCAAAAACAAACAAACAAAAAAGAATCACGAAAGGATGAGTACTAGGGATTGAACCCAGGAAGGATTGAGCTACAATCCCAACCCTTTTTACTTATTTTTGAGACAAGTCTCACTAAGTTCCCCAGCCTGGCCTTGAACTTGCAATCCTCTTGTCTCAGTCTCCTAGGTAACTGGGATCCCAAGCATATGCTACCATGCCCACCTTGGGACATAATTGTACTATTTGTTTCTTTTGGCCCAGAAACTAAAATCAGAATACAATCACTGCTCACAATGCAAGTAAGTGTTCCTGACTCATTCCCTTTTCCTGGGGACCAGACATGTGGGCCCATTAGTCCCTCAAGATCACATCTTTTCCACTCTCACAGGCCAGGAGCCAGCACAAAAATACTGATTCCAGAAGTCTATAAAGAAATCCTACCCTGTCAACTTTTATGGGAGTATAAATGGCCAAGAATCAGCACTGCAACCCACTTGTGAAAGCAATCTCATCTTGGCTTCTAGTGTCCAGCTCAGACTACCAGGGTCTACGTTACTGGGGGGAGGGTCTTTCTGAGAGTTGCTGCCCTTTTTTTGGTACTGGGGATAGAACTTGGGACCTTGTGCTTGCGTGGCAGGCAGCGGCACCGCTGAGCTAAATCCCCAGTGGGGCCCTTCTTTCTGATCAGGCTACTCTCCCAGGGCCGCAAAATATATTTCCTTGTGACTCTGTAAATTCAAATTTATTCCACTGTCATCTCAGGAGACGTTTGGCCCCCAACACCTCTGCCTTCCAGACACTATATACACATGCTACTTGAAAAAGCCCTAGGAAAAGAAAAAAAGAAAAAAAAGAAAAAAAAGAAAAAGCCCTAGGAGCAGTCAATAGCTTATCTCTAATGGTTAACTGGTGCAGGTGAGTGCCTATTTATGTTTGTTAAGTGCTTGCTTAACTCTGGCAGGCACTGCGCTAGGTGGTACACGTATAAAACCTTTTAATCTTCAAAACAACTCTTTGAAGATTATTATTAATACTATTTTAAAGATGTGAACATTGAAGCTCAAGCATAATTTGCTCAGGGTGTCATAACCACAAAGTGGTGTGACTGAGACAGAAAATGCCACAGTTGCGGGACTCCACAAACTTTTCAAGCTTTGCCACTGCACCACTGCAGAGCTTGCTGGGGAAAGCCACAAGTCTCCAGTCTACTATTACTGGCTCGGCTTTGGGTGCAGCACCTCTGGTTCTTCTAGGACAGCCTCCTAAGAGCCTTGCCCACTTAAGAGCGCACCCAGGAGGATGCAGAGGCTTGGCAAGGTGCCATCGATTTCTAGCAGCTCCGCCCTCCCTCTCAAGACCTCCTTGGAATGAAGCTGCACGCAGGTTCATCAGCAAGCGCCATCTCAGCCGCTGTAAGCCCTCCCCATTAACTGCGATCTGAACGCGCGGCGCCGTGCTCCACCGCACTAAATCCCACACTGCGTGCACGTGGTCACAATGAAAACTCCCCCAAAACCCTGGGAGGAAGAGAGTATCATCATCCCCGTTCATCGATGAGTCCTGAGGAGAGATAGTAAACTAGCTCAAGAACTTAGCTGATGTTCAATAAATGAGACCGTCGGGTCGTCCGTGATTCCCCCCGAACGTACTCCCAGTGCAGCACTGCCCAAGCACGTGCACAATCCGCGGCTACTTCTCGGGGATCCGAGTTCACACCCGTTCGCAGAGATTTTTCCCGTGAAAAGGGGAAAGGGGCGGGAGAGGGAAAGCAGGCCAAGGGGCGACGCGGCCTCGGCCAGAGCCTGACTTCCCGCGGCCGGGTCTCCAAGGACACCCCCAGCCCGGAAGTTTTCTTTGGCCCCGGCCCGGGCGGGCGCGCGCAGCGGGACGGGCATTTCGGGTCGGGCCGCGCGGCCTGGGAGGCGCGTTGAGGGGTGCGGCCCAAGCGGGCCGGGGTAGGGGAGCCGGACACCCACCTAGATCCATGGCGGCGACGTTGGCGGCGGCGCAGACCGCCCCTCCTCCTGGAGGCCGCGAGCGCGACGCAAGCGTCACGGCACAATGGGAGGTGCGGGAGGGCGGAGCCACAGGCCCCGCCCACAGCCTTGGTCCCTTTCCCTCCCAGTTCCCGGGCAGGCTGCACGCCGCTTCGCACGCACGCGCGCTCCTCGCCAACGAACCCGAGGCCTCGAGGCCGCCAAGCCCACAGCGCCTCCTCTCGGCCATACAGGCAAGTACACTCTACACTGCCTCTTTCTAGGTTTCCTGAGTCCAGGTGGTCTTGTCCATGGCCCCTGGCCCCGCATTCTCCCTCACAGGAACCCCAGATAGCTCGCGCACACAGTTCACTGGCACGAATCCCGTTCCCCAGGCTGCCTACTCTGTAGCATGCGCTTGGCCCTTCGGAATCTTCCTCCCCGCAGAGGGTTCCCGGATCTCACAATTGGCCCCGCCCAGGCCCACAGACACAGTTGCCTTCAACGCCCTTCATACCACACTGCCTCCTTCCTACAGCGACCACCATCTTTAATTTTTCAGGATCATAGAAGCCTTTGAAACTTTTACTGTTTCAAAGAAAACAGAAAATGCACTGTGAGGCAGATCCAATCCAGCAGCCTCACGTGTGTACAGCTTTCCCCCCCTCGACCTTTAGTGTCTGGTGTCACCTGGAAAGAACAGAGGGACTCAGCCTCAAGTACCCCAATGTGCCAAGCAGAGTTTGAGTTGGCCTGGGCTGCCATCAAGCAGCTGAAGCGTCCTTTGAGTGACCAGGAGAAACTGCTGGTGTACAGCTTCTACAAACAGGCCACTCAGGGTGACTGCAACATCCCTGCCCCTCCTGACTCGGATGTGAAAGCCAAAGCCAAGTGGGAGGCATGGGACGTGAACAAAGGGATGTCCAAGACAGATACCGTGAAGGTCTACATTGCCAAAGTGGAACAGCTGAAGAAAAAGGAGGCTGATTAGGGACAGTTTAGCAGGCAGAGGTAGCATGGCTCCTCTGGTAAGGAATGGGCTTCTTAAAAGATCTTAAAGGCTGAAATGTCCTGAAAGGGTAGTAAGATTAGCTAAGACATCAATAAAGCACTTAAACTGCCTAAGAATGACTATGTTGTTGGGAAAGAGAAACTCAGTGACTTGAGAGTCCTAGGGAAGTGTCTAAATAAAAAAACGAATCTTGGGCCGGGAATTTAGCTCAGTGCTTCTGGTGCCTGCCTTGAAAGCACAAGGTCCTGAGTTCAATCCCAGGTACCAAAAAAACAAAAAAAATCCCCACGAATCTCTCCACCAGGTAATCATTGGTTTTCTGGGTGGTTGTGAATGTGTTCCTTTCTTTCCTATTTCACAGCATATGTAGATATTTGGCAGTAGAAGGGATGACAGGAGAATCAATGCTATCAAAATGCCCAAGACTAGCTGGGCATGGTGGTGTACACCTGTAACCCCAACACTAAGGAGGCTGAGGCAGGAGGGTTGCCACAAGTTTGAGGCCTCCCTGGGCTTCTACATAGTGAGTTCAAGGACAGCCTGACTTACATAGTAACCCTGTATAAAAAAAACAACAACAAAAAACACCCAAGGTTGGAGATGAGAACATTCCCCAGTGACCTTCACTTCTAGGAAGCTGAGGCCCCTGCCTCCCCTACCCCTTTAGGGGCTGCTGACTCACCAGCAGCCCAACATTAGAGGGGAAAGGGACTGTCTTCCCAAAAGCTAAGGTCAGGGATTTAGCTCAGCGGTGGCACTAACTGCCTTGCAAGCGCATGATCCTGAGTTTGATCCACAGTACCAAAAAACAACAAAAAAAGAAAATTCCGAAAAGCTAAGGTCAAGCTCAGAATTCCTTACTGGAACACAGTTCAATGAGGTTAGTATCTTTTTTGTCTGTGTGTGCGCCAGATCCAACTCAGGACTTCGCACTTGCTAGGCAAGCCAGGCCTCTGAGCTACATCCCCAGCCCTAAAGTTACTATCTTACAGTGGTGAGGTAATTGATCCAGTGCAACATAGTAGCTGAGAAACAATGGAGCCATAGTTTCAAAATCCCAGGCACTGATGACTCATCTGAGGCCTAGCAATCAATATTTTCTTGGGACTACTTTATAGCTAACCCTAGTAGCTGTATGAGAAAAAATGCTGTATATAGGTATGCTTATATGAGATTTGTTTTAAGACCACAGAACACCACCTATGAAGGGCTACAGTACTAGAGCCCGATGTCTACTCCATATTAATGATCAGGGAGGCATCAATGCATAACCCCTGTGTCTGGTGGCTGGATGTGGAGTGCTGAGTTCTTAAAGACATTTCAGAGAAACAGGTCCCCTGTGGTATGCCATTTCCTAGAATTTTTCCTTGTTAAAAATTATTTTCTAGCCAGGTGTGGTGGAGCATACCTATAATCCAGGTACTGAGGCTGAGGCAGGAGGGCAGCAAGTTTGAGCCCAGATGGGCAACCTAGCACTCTGTGAGACCATGCCAGAATGCAAAAAGACTAGGGGTGTAGCTCAGTGCAAAGGCCCTGGGTTCAGTCTTCAGTACTGTAAATAACAGTGACTTAAATTATTACAACTATAAGCTGGATAAGAACCACATTGTAAAACAATTCTTTTCTGATACTGTGAACATGTTTTTTATACTTTGAGGACCATGATTTATGTTAAATGCTAACAGAAAAATAATGTACCTTGCTCCAAACTGTGGCAGCAGTTTAGGAATTGTAAGTATGCCATACCATTTTATAAATCACTATGGAATTGGGGCCTGGGGTTTGGTTCGGTGGTTCTGCCATCTGCCTTGCAGGCTCAGGGTCCTGAGTTCGATCCCCAGTACCAAAAAAAAATCACTATGGAAACTTATAAAATAAAAATGTGTCATAAATGGGCCGGGGATTTAGCTCAGTGGTGGTGCTGCCTACCTTGCAAGTGTAAGGTCCCGAGTTCGATCCCTGGTACCAAAAAAACAAAACAAAACAAAACAAAAATGTATCATAACTAGGAGTGCAGAAAGTAATTGTAAGACAGCTAGGGATTGCCAGGCATGGTGGCACACCTCTGTAAGCCAACTACTCATGAGGCTGAGGCAGGAGGATTACAAATTTGAGGCCAGCCTGAAAAATACAGGGACACCCTGTCTCAAAAAGGCGAGGCTATACTTGAGTGCAAAGGCCCTGGGTTCAATCCCTGGTACTGGGGGATGGGGGGGAAGTGTAGTATATAGTGTGCTAAATTTTGTGGGGGAAAAGGAAAAAATAAGACTATATTTATAATTGTTTAACAAATAGTTGTTTAGAGTAGGTAAGGGGAATGGGACTGACCAAATTTGTTTTGTTTTTAAATGGTATTAAGATTGAACTCAGGGGTCGGGGATTTAGCTCAGTGGTTCCACCGCCTGCCTCGAAAGCACAAGGTCCTGAGTTTGATACCCGGTCCAAAAAAAAAAAAAAAAAAAGATTGAACTCAGGGCTTTAAGCTTGCTAGACAAGAAGAGCTCTATCACTGAGCTATATCCCCAACCTTTTAAAATTTTTGAGACAAGGTCTTCCTCAATTTCCCAGGCTGGCCTCAAACTTGCAATCCTCCTGCCCCTGCCCGTAGAGTAGCTGCCATTACAGGTGAGCATCACATGCCTGACAAGATTATTTGATGTATACCTCTTGATCAATTTTGATTTTTTCAGCCATGTGACTCTATTGTAAGGAAGTCTGAGGCAAGGGCGCATTTTTTTTTTTCAAAGGGTGCATATTGATCGAGGCCAGGACAAATTTCTTTCATACTGATTTTTCATAGGTAAGAGTATTGTTAGGCTATACAGTCAAACTTCTCAACTCTTACCATAAATTTCAGTGGACAAGTTGAAGGGGTCCTAAAAATTGCTAAAGCAGAGTGGTTCTGTGTGACAGGTTAGATGGGCAGCAAGTCACATAAAGGAGCACTGAAAGTCCACAACTTTGCTAATTCCACCAAGATGGAATGAAGTTAATGCATACAATTCACACTGCTAATTCTCCAGGGTAACCTAGGACAACCTATGCAGCATGGCTATTTTAAATCTCTGGATTCAAATTCAAGACACTTGAACTTACACTTACAGCTAAAAGTATTGTAGGAATTCACCCCCCTCCCCAATTAAAAAACAGAATTACCATGAAAATACAACTCTGGGGAAACTGAAGATTCTCAACTTCATTGTTTAAAACACCAGCTAGCACAAAAGTATCTCTCTGGATTGGGGCTGTAGCTCTTTGGTAGGGCACTTGCCTAGCATGTGTGAGGCTCTGGGTTCAGTTTCTAGCACCGCCCCCCCACAGCTTTCTTATAACATAATTTTTTCTGTATAAAATCAAATTTATTTTTCAGCATGCTTTTTTTTTGGCTTAAATTCTTTTATTGGTACATTTTAGGTATACAATATGTTTACATTTATCATTGGGTGCTTGTGCCTGTACATGATGTATCTTGGTTATTTTTTCCCCATTACCTGTGCACCCTTCACCCCCTCCACCCTTCCCTATTTCATACTTCATTTCCATATTTTTTTCTTTTCTCATAATTTTTTCCTTTCCATTCTTTCCTTTCCCCATCTCCTCCCACCACCCCTACCCCTTTGGACCTTTTCCTATTTCAAAGTATCAATTATTAGTTATTAATCCTTTTAATCCTTATTTACACTCTGTTTCTCACACTAGAGAAACTATTTGGTATTTACACGTGTGTCTTATTTATTTCAGTTAAGAGTATGGCCTCAATATGTATCCATTTAGCTATAAATGACTCTAGTTTCTTGTTCTTTATGGCTGAGTAGTACTCCATTTTATAAAAAAAACCACATCTTCCTTATCCAGTTTCCAGTTGATGGGCACTTGGGCTGTTTCCAAGCTTTAGCTTGCCCCAGTAAACAAACTGTGCCCCAATAAACAAGGGTACACATATATTTCTGAGGTATGATTCTTTTAATTCTTTTGGGAAAATACCCAGCAGGGGAATAGCTGGGTCAAATGGGACCTCTCATCCTAGTTCTTTGAGGTATCTCCACACTGATTTCCATAGTGGTCGCACCAGTCTGTACTCCTACCAGCAATGGAGAAGGGTTCCTTTCTCTCAGCATGCTTTTATTTTGATGAAGCTCCTGGTGAGGCCTTCACCAATCAGATGTAGTATGTATGATGTCTTACCCACTTATTCAGCACACTTTAATGGTTACAGTAGTAATTTTGGGTGGGAGGGGAGACAGGGTCTTGCTTTGCAGTTCAGGCTGGTCTTGAACTATGTAGCCCAGGCTGGCTTCGAACTCAGCAATCCTCCTGTCTCAGCCTCCCAAGTGCGGGGACTACAGGTGTGCACCGCCACACCTGGCCTTACAATAGTAATTATCATACTTCTCTTGCTTTTTATTTTCTATAATTTTCTTTTCTCATAGATCATACACCATACCCCCCAAGATGGAAAAGTAATCATAACTTTTAGTTTAAATTTTCTGTTTTTAAGGGCCGGGGATTTAGCTCAGTGGTTCCGGTGCCTGCCTCAAAAGTGCAAGGTCCCGAGTTCGATCCCCAGTACCAAAAAAAAAAAAATTACTGGTTTTGGTTTAAAATTACTAGCTGGATTGTGCAGAAGCAAACTTAAGGAGTTTTTGATAAAAGGCCAAGGTTATACACTAAATGACTGTAGTGTAAAATTTTTTTTTTGGTACCAAGGATCAAACTCAGGACCTTGTGCTTTCAAGGCAGGCAGTGGAACCACTGAGCTAAATCCCCGGCCTGAGGTAAATAAAATATTAAAGATCACAACAGAGGAAATCATGGCAATGAAATAAATAAAAGGGGGCTGATCTCTTAAAGCCAGTATGTGCCAGGTGAATAAACAACATTAATTTCCACCATGCATGGTGCCTTCTATCATTCATGTCATTTAAGAGAAAAACACTCTGTTCTATTAAAATTCAAGATAAGCAGATAGAAAACGAGTACTTTTAGTCATTCAGTACTTACATAATCCATTTATTTCACAATGATAAACAGGGGGCTCCCTTATAGCATCCTCATACACTGGGAACAGTATGGTACTTTCTTTTCATGAGAACAGTGTTAGTAGAGATAAATACTAAAAAGTGCTTCATGTCTAATAGAAAATCTGAGAATTAACAAATTAATGAGACAGAAGTTTGTATAGGAAAAAATGGAACAATTACCTAAAGGAGGAATGCATAACTTGTTTGCTTTGAAACTCATGATTTTTCCCTAAGACAGTGAATTTAAGTTGAATAAAAGGTGTTGTTGAGTTAGACAAGGATTTTTTTCCTCCCAGGGAGGTAAGATCACCCTTATAAGAAGCTGAATCTTACCCAGAAAATGCCACAGAGAACAGCAGAGGTTATGATTTAACAGAAAATTTTTTATGTGTAATTTCTGGTATCCTTGGAGTCAATCCTTTAGTCTTTGTTCTCTAAAGTCAATGTGGTGACCACTTTAAATAATGAGACATAGACTCATGTAACAGCCTAATTTCAGAAGCATTTAAAAAAATTTTATTGGTATACTTTTGGTATGATCACATTCATCATAGGGAATTTGTACCTGTACATAATATAAGAATTTAAAAAATTTAATAATGAATATACCCAATACAATTTTGTTCCCAGTGATTAAAACCTACTTGTGTAGCGCCAAAGAGAAAACATAATTTTTTTCAGGCTGAAGAAATAATTTAACCTATTTTTGTTTTTTTTGGTACTGGGGATCGAACTCAGGACCTTGCACTTGTGAGGCAGGTGTGGTGCCACTGAGATAAATCCCTGACCCAATTTAACCTATTTAAGATCCTTTCTTGAGAGAATTTAAAAAATATTAGCGCAGAGCCAGGAGTATCAAAACACATTAAATCCTTCTGTTTTCTCTGGCTACTCAAGATGTAAAAGCAAGTAAAATGGGGGTTTAATTAAGTCTTTTTGTCCAAGGAACAGAATTTAAAAAAAAAAAAAGGAAAATTAAAAAAGCAAAAATGCTGAATGTCAAGACCACCTTCCAGAGCAAGGTATTAGAACAGCTTATTATCATGAGGTGCTCGGAATATAATCATTATAAGCAATTGATCTGAATTTACTTGAACATTTGCTCCAATAGAATCTATCAGTTCTGATGATTCACACCTCATCAAAACTCTTTCCATCCCCAGTCAAGGGTAATGTCCCATAAACTGTCCTAGTCTAGAAAATAATTTGTTACTAATTTAATACAGTTACATAGAATGTGCCATTCCAGTGACAGTGCAGATTATAGCAAGAATTCTCCTTTACTTGGAGCAATGATAATCAGATTTCATTTCTAAAATATACCAGCACTTTCAAAGATTGAAAGACACAAATCTTCACCAGCCAGGCCTCCTTGCCTGTACAGGATACAAACAAGTAGTAAGGGCATTTATCATAAGCAGATACAGCAGGCTTCTAGGTGCTGGATGGAAATAATAGATGCTTGTTTCACATGATGTCTTCCATTAACCTGAAGCCTTTACTTTATTTCTTTTAGCAAACCACTCATCGCTTTTGTCTGCTGCCATTGCCTATAGAAACAAAAGTTGAATATACATTTATTCCTAGTCTGAAAAATGAAAGATATAGCCCACTTTGTACTTCACTCCACTGTCCACAAAGGAGAAATTAACATTTAAAGAGTGTTCACTCAGTGCATTTTGTTGAATGCGACAGGAGATGCTGGTGTGTACCAAGCAACTGCGTGGTGACTCTCACCACTGAGTAAAGGGCAAAGCCTGCAGCTGGGAAGCACAGAGGACTGACTCAAGAGCAGGACCATGCACACCAAGTTAGTCTTTGGCAGAACAAAACACTTTAGCGCTCATGAGGCTCAGTCTGATCATGAGAACAAATATGAGAAATTATTTGATGTTTTAGCTATCTGGAGTAAAACAATTTCCTATTTACACCTCCTACCTACTCTACTAATACTGGTTCTATTGGATTAGTTTTACTAATTACTTTTTTGGTTTTTTTGAAACAGGGTTTCACTAGGTAGTTCAGGCTGGCCTTGAACTCACTATGCAGTACAGGAACTCACGGATATCTTCCTGCCTCAGCCTCCTAAGTGCTGGGATTACAAGTGTGCACCACCATGCATGGGTATTTTTTTTTTTGTAACTGTACTAAAGATTGAACCCAGGGGTGCTCTATCACGGAATTACATCTGTACCCTTTTTCACTTTTCATTTTGAAATAACATCTCACTAAGTTCCCCAGACTGGGCTTAAATTTGTGATCTTCCTGCCTCCACCTCTGGGAGAGTTGGGATTACAGGTGTGCATTACTCTCCTGGGCTGATTTTGTGCCTCTTAATTAAAAAGGAAGCCTTGTTAATAATGTTAACAAAATTTTGGCTATACAAGTCCTTTTAGCTGTTCAGTAAGGAAGACTATTCAGTAAAAAAGCAAGTATGGAAATATCTTTCTAAAAATGAGTTTTCAGATGGGTGTGGTGGCACACACCTGTAATCCCAGGTGGAGGCAGGAGGATCATGTGAATTTAAAGCCAGCCCTGGTTACATAGTGAGTTCAAAGTTAGCCTGAACTGCATGGCAAGACTTTGTCTCAAAAACAAAACAGAAGTCTGGAGATCCATTGTATAGTGAACATAGTAAATAATAATGCACTGTATACTTGAAATTGCTAAGTGAATAGCTAAAATTATGTGAGGTGATGAATGTTAATTAGTTTGATTTAATCACTTAACAATGTATACATATATTAAAATATGTTGGCCCAAGGATTTAGCTCAGTGGTTCTACCACCTGCCTCGCAAGCACAAAGTCCTGAGTTTGATCTCTGGTACCAAAAAAAAAAAATGTACTCCATAAATATACACAATTTAAAAAATTGTAAAATTTTTAAAAATTTAAAAAATAACAATGAGTTTTCAGCCAGGTGTGGTAGTGAATGCCTATAATCCCAGCACTCTGGGAGGCTGAAGCAGGAAGATCACAACAAGTTTGAGCCTAGCCTGGGCAACTAGAGACTTAGTGAGACCCTGTCTCAAAGTTAAAAAAAAAAAAAAAAGGGCTAGGAATGTAGCTCAGTGTGGAGGCCCTGGGTTTGATCCTCAATACCTCTAAAAAATAAACATTTTTCATCATGAATTGGGAACTATGCTGGGATCAGATGTGGCAACAGAGTCGGGGATTTAGCTCAGTGGCACTCTGCCTGCATCACAAGGGAAAGGTCCTGAGTTCTAGCCCTGGTACCAAAAAACCTCAAAAAACCAAAAAACCAAAAAACTAATTGCCAGATGTGGCAACAGAGACGGTCGAGGCTTTGGGGAGTGTACTGACCAGCTGAAGACTCAGCTATGGAAACAATTATTATTAGTATTATTTTTTTTGGTACTGGGGATCAAACTTGGGTCCTTGCACTTGTGAGGCAGGTGCCGGAACCACTGAGCTAAATCCCCGGCCCAGGAAACAATTATTTTGCACAAGGAAGTGTGTGTACATGTGTGTTGAGGCATTTGCTACACCTCAACACCAAAGGATCTCAAAAACCAAAGGAGAAGAGAGTTCAGAGGAGGAGGAATTTTGTCAACGGCAGGAAAGTGGAAGAATCTGGCAAATTTCCCAAATGATAGGCTGCCTAAGATTCCAGTTTCCTGCATGATAAAATTTATAAAGGCTGCATTTTTTTTTTAAGGCTGCATTTTTTCACAAACTTCCTGCCTTAATTAACATTAATCAAGCATCTGCATAATTAACACAAGTTATTGTTATTTCCTCAAAATTTAGGTAAGTGGACAGAAGAACAGAAACTTCAGTAGATTGCTTAAGGTGCTTCATAGATGTTACACAACCAACCTTTATTGATTCCTTCAGTCAATAAAGTGTTCAGGGGGGAGGTAGGTATAGTGCGCCACAACTATAGCCCCATTTTTGTTTTGTTTTTTTTGTACCAGGGATGGAACTCAGGGCCTTGTGGTTGCAAGGCAGGCGGCGGAACCACTGAGCTAAATCCCTGGCCAAGCCCCAGTTTTTCAGGAGGATGAAGCAGGAGGATCACTTGAGCCCAGGAGTCAAGCCCAGTCTGAGTAACATAGCAAGGCCCTGTCTTAAAAAAAAAAGCATTGGGAGAATATTTACTACATTCTAGGTATGTGCCAGAAGCTGGCATACAACAACGAGCAACTGCTTTGAAAACTGCTGAAAAATCAAGTTTGTCTAAAATAGGAAAGCAGCTGCTGTATTTGACAAAATGGATTTCACCAATGATGTAAATACTAGTACTTAATTGAGACAGAAGAGCTAGTACAGGGCAGACTGAAATCTAAGTGAGAGATGAATTTTTATTTATTTTTTTGGTACAAGGGATCGAACTCGGGTCCTTGAGCTTGCAAGGCAGGTGGCAAAACCACTGAGCTAAGTCCTCAGCCCAGAGATGAATTTTTAAATAAGAAATCTAACTGTCAAGGATCAAATAAATGTTGGAGAGGCTGCAGGGGGAAAAGGAACCTTTCCTATATTGTGGGTGGGAATGCAAATTAGTACAACTACTATTGAAATCAGTACAAAGACTCTTCATATTAGAAATTCCATTTGACCCAGCTATTCCCCTTCTTGGTATCCTCCTCAAAAGGTAAAGACATCATATTACAGTGGTACATGCATGCCCATGTTTATAGCAGCACAATTCATAATAGCTAAATCTTGGAAGCAGCCTTATGTCCATCAGCAGATGAATGGATAAAGAAAATGTATGGGGGGCCGGGGATTTAGCTCAGTGATTTTGCCGCCTGCTGAGCAAGGACCTGAGTTCGATCCCCAGTACCAAAAAAGAAAAAAAAAAAGAAAATGCATGGTATTTACATACAATGGAGTACTACTCTGGCATAAAGCAAGATAAACTTGAGTCATTTGTAGAAAAATGGATGCATCTTGGGACCATACTGTTAAGTGAAATCAGATATGTAAGCTTAAATATCACATGATTTCTCTTATATGAGAAACCCAAATTATAAACAAAGAGCAAAATAAAAGATAACAGAAAGTAAGAAGGTAGAGCTTTCTCAAATGGGAAGGGGACCAAGAGATGGAAGGAGGGGGAGGGAAGGGAAGGGGATGAGCAAAGAATTAAGATGTGTTATGTACATGTGTACCAGCTGCCTACAAACAATGTAACTATTATATACTGCAAACATGTACTATTTTTTTTTTTTTTGGTACGGGGATGGAACTAAGCCCTTGTGCTTTTGAGGCAGGCAGCAACACCACTGAGCTAAATCCTCGGCTCTAATTTTTTTTTTTTGGTACCACGGATCGAACTCGGGTCCTTCCGCCTGCACAGCAGGCGGCAAAACCACTGAGCTAAATCCCTGGGCCCCTGGCCCTAATTTTTAAAAAAAATGTACAAAAGAGATAAAGGGTCAATAAAAGGTGTTCAAAAGATGGGAGCTACTGGAGCTTGTTTGTATGCTGATGAGAACAATTCACTAAGAAGGAAGAGTCTAATGCTGTGTAGTGGAGATGAGATGGCTGAAAGGCTAAGCAAGTGAGAGCCATGGCATTTCCATTCACTGAGCAGAATGATGTTTATTTATGGCTGCAGTGGTTCCCTAAGGCAACTGGAGGCTGTGGGAAGGTGCAGATGCTGAGGTCACACAGGTGGCCAGGAAGACACAGGTCCCAGGCTAAAAAGTCATTCTAACAGCAAAGGACACAGCTCCCCCACTTTATACCATACCTTATAATTAGGCTGTGGTGATATAAAAAAAAAAAAATTAGACTCACATCATCCAACAATTTGTTTCCTTCTGGATCTATCTTAGAAAGCTCTCGAAATGCTTCATCCCCAACAAAGCAAATTTCATGTCCATCCTATACCAACAAAGGAAAAAACAATTTGGCAAAAAAGGTGTCTCTGAAGAGACTGTGGTAAAGCCTGCCTGTCCCCTTGCTGAGTAATACTTACAGGGTCGGCCAGGATGACAACTTGTACTGTTGCTTTTCCAGGGGTATCCAGACTCACCAGGGGCATGAGAATCTTCTGATTCTCCCTTCTCATCAAGTCTTCTAAATCTGGCAACTTGAGGAAAACAAAAAGGCAAAGTAAGCAAGGGTCATATACTACTTTTATGACATGATCCTCATTAGTGCTAGGGGAGTATCTGATCAGAACCAAGGCACCACTTGTTTGATTTCATTATCTCAGTAGTCCTTGAAACAACCATTGAACTTGATACCAAAGCCACAATCAGAATGATCTTAAGAAAGGAAAGCCAAGGTTCTCAGCTGGGTTGAACTAGCTTGTCAAGCTTAAACAAAAGATCAGGTAATCAAACCTTACTTCTTTCTGGGGACAAGAAAAGGCAATTCTTCCAAAAGCTGTTGCATGATCAACTAAGCCTTTGATGCCCTGTAGTTCCAGCTTACACTGAAAAGAAATAGGGAGGTGGGTTTATGTTTTCATACAAGTTACACATGCATGTGCTTAAAAAAATTAAACAAGACTAAAAGAATAAAGTAAAAATGACGTTTCCCTCCTGTCACTTAAGGCAATCAGTCAGCAGTTTCTCATGTATCCTTCTAGATACATTTCCTACCTCTTTACTTCCATCCTTTCCTGTCTTCATTTATCCTTTCTTTTTTTGTGCTACTGAGAATGGAACCCAGGTCTTTACGCATGGGTTAGGCAAACATGCTAGGCAAACACTCTACCACTGAGCTGCATCCCTAGCCCTTTTAAATTTTTATTTATGTATTTTCCCAGTACTGAGAGTTGAACTCCAGGAGAGCTAGGCTCCATTCCCAACCCTTTTTTTCCTTTTCTGTACCAAGGATCAAACTCAGGACCTTGCACTTTTGAGGTAGGAGTGGTGCCACTGAGCTAAATCCCCAGCCCTCCCAACCCTTTTTAATTTTGAGACAGTCTCACTAAGTTGTCCAGGCTGGCCTTGAACTTGTGATTCTCCTGCCTCAACCTCCTGAGTAGCTGGGATTACAGATATGTGCTAATGTACCTAGCTCTATGTTTCTTTTTTACACAAATAGTGGCACAATACCTCACCAGCACATAAAGACTTAAACCAATCTTTTCGATAACTGTATATTAATCCCTTCTATTAGTGAATCATTGAAATGTCACTCTAATCCACAGGACACGGAGGTTCTTATATTTTGCTATTGCAAAGAATGCTATAATAGATATCTTTGTATTCACTTCTTTTTGTAGATGTGTGATGAAGACATCTGTAAAGTAATTCTAGGAAGTAGAACTGCTGGTCAAAGTACAAGGATTAAATCAGGTTCAAATGCTAGGTTATTGAAAACTAATATATAGGGCCGGGGATTTAGCTCAGTGGTTTCGCCGACTGCTGTGCAAGCGCAAGGACCCGAGTTCGATCCCTGGTACCAAAACAACAACAAAAACAAAAACTTCTACACACACATATATATATATATATACATATATATACACATATATATACATATATATGTGTATATATATATATGTATATAAAATCATAGATTAAACCTTGTCTATATCTTTTCTGATTAAGCATTTCTACTGTTCACTTTCTCTTTTATTTTTTTGTGGTGTTGGGAATCTACCCAGGGCCTCAAACATGCTAGGTAAGCTCTCTACCACTGAGTCACATTACCCAGCCCATTCCACTTCTAAAAGGATATATCCCCAAATAGAAAAAAGGTAGTACTTAAGCAGTGAGGTTACCACTAATTTTCATTTTCTTCTTTCTGTTTATCTGTATATATATTGAATCACAGTGAAGAAACTATGAGAACAACTTTCATGTGAAACTCATTTAGAAACCCTCTAAGATCACTCACCTGGTTCTCAGCATAGCCCAGCAAAGCCCTCTGCTTCTCTTCATCCTGTTCATAAATCTTCATTCCCAGGAGATTAGACCAGTAATTCAAGGATTTCTGAAGATCAGATACTGCTAGAGTTACTTTTAATACAGGATCTGGCCGGTAATAGAAGAGCAGGAAAAGGCAGATCAGTTCAGTGAAGTAGAATAAAAATACTGAAACAAGCTTATAAATATGTAAGAATATTTACATAGCTTAATGATGGAGTGCATGCCTAGCATGTGCGAGAGCCCAGGTTTGATCCTCAGCAACCATGGGTCCCCAATTTAGGTAATGACAAAAAGATATTTAAGTCAGTAAGAAAGGCCACATTATTAAAAAAAAAAAAAAGCAAGCACCAAAGCCAGGCATAGTGGGACATGCTTGTAATCGCAGCATTTGGGAGGCTGAGGCAAGAGGACTGCTATCAGTTCAAGACTAACTGGAACTACATACCAAAACCCTATCTCAAAAAATCCAAATGAAGAAAGAAATGGTTAAATATCTAAATTGAATAGCAAAATACATTCCTGATGGGTTAAGAAATCAATTTTAAAGAATGAAACCAAGAAAATATAAATACAGGTGATTATTTATACAATTTTGAGTTGGAAGAAGATTTGTGTTTAAACGTGAGGCAAAGATAGAAAAACCATGAAGGTGGGGCTGGGGATTTAGATCATTGGTTCCACTGCCTGCCCCACGAGAGCAAGGACCCGAGTTCAATCCCCGGTACCAAAAAAAAGAAAAACCATGAAGAAAGAAGCCTGCTAGGTTAATCACACAAGATGGAAAACCATTTGACATCAACAACCAAAAAAAGAATTACAGGGCTGGGATGTAGCTCAGTGGTAAAGTGCTTGCCTAGCATGCACAAGGCCTTGGGTTCTATCCTTACTACTGGGGGGAAAAAGGAATTAACAATCAAAATTAAAGAGTAAACAACAAAGCCGGGAAAAATTTTTGCAACACACAGGACATGATTTAGTATGTAAATCATCTTTAAGTACTAGGATGTTCATCTAGGTGAACTAGGATTTTCATCCTAGAAAAATCATCAAGTAGTTCACAAAAGAACTGGAATGGTCAACGAACATTTGAAAAATTATTTAATTTCACAGTCAAAGAAATTAGGATTCAAATAAAATCTTTTATCTAACTGGCAAATATTTTATTCTTGTGTTTGTTTTGTTTCTTATTTTTTTTGGCAAATAATTTTAAAAGATAGCAGTGTTAACTGTATTAGTCCAAGTGATCATTATATAAAACTTGGTGGTGTATAAATTAGTACATTTCTGGGCAATGATTTGACAGCATGTATAAAAAACTTAAAAAATACACATTGTTGAAAGAACAACTCTACTTGCAGAAATTCAAAAAGTAACTGTGGATGTATGAAGGGCTTTCATCACAAACATATTCATCACAGTATTGCCCAGAACAGTGAAACTCTAGGAACAACACAAATATTTAACAGAAGAGAATTGTTTATCTTCCTACAATGTAATAATGCAGTGGAATTCCTGGAATGGATTATTAAAGCATACAGACAAATTTTTGGATGAAAGATTGGAAACATAAGACTCTAAAATAGTCACAGTGGTTATTACTGGACATATGGTGCTGTTTTCTTCGCGTGCGCATGTGTGTGTGTCTTACTGAAGACTAAACCTGGGGCCTTGTGCATGCAAAGCCAACACTTTAACACTGAGCTACACCCCTAGTCTTTTATTAAAAATTTTATTTTGAGACAGTCTTGCTAAGTTGCCCAGACTTGCCTCAAGCATGAGATCCTCTTGCCTCAGCCTCCTCAGTAGCTAGGATTACTGGCATTCATCACCATGACCCGCCTCTAGGTTTTTTTTTCCTTGTGTATATGTATGAACATGTGTACCCATGTATAATGTGTGTGCCTATTTAAGATAAAATCTCTCATTGTGTAAAAAGAACAAAAGTTATATTAAAACAATTAACACCTGGCTGGGGTGTAGCTCAGTGATGTAGTGTTACTCACAAGTACCTCTTGATGGCAGATTCAATTTGTTTTCTCTATTTATTTCAAAATAACAAATCCTAGTTGACCCAAAGCCTGAAGTGATGCAGGGACAGGAATGGAAACCAGGTAAAACTACACAGGACTGAGTGATTCAAAAGGAGAATGGATGACAGCTAGACTGACAGATCTGAGTACATTACCAATGATAGATTCATGCCCCCAAAACACTACCATTGCACAGGTCAAAAAAATTTTTGGATTGTGGCACTCTCCATTATTTTAATTCCAGGTTGAGTGTCTCTTAAATGAAATGCTTGGGACCAGAGATGTTTCAGATTTTGAAGTTATTCAGACTTTGGAAAAGAGTTAAGGTTTAAAGTCAGTATATAAAGCAACAACTGCCTATCAACACAAATAACCATAAAAATGTCCTTAAGTCTTCAGTGAAGTACAGAAATACCATTTCTCAATAAGTCCCACACAACCAGTCCAACCTCCCACATCAGAACGAATTGGTCTTTCTTCTGCTGAGTAGCTGGAGAAAAACAAGTAGCATTAAACACTACAATCAGACCCAGCATTTGGGATCTGAGGCCAATCATCGGGAGAAAGAATTTGGCTCCCATCTCAGGTCACTTACAGGCACCTGGGCGAAAGGCAGCATTGCCCTTGCTCTTCACCAGCACACGCATACCTCCTGCTTTTGCTTTAGTTTTGGCAGAGAGGTAGCTGGATTTGTAGGACATGTGCTAAAGCTGTATCTACCACAAACAAAACACACCTTGTGAAGTTTCTTGCCTTCAGTGTGGTGAGCTTATTTCTGTTCTATCCCTCAGTCACTATGAACCAGCGATAGAGTTTGGGAAACTGACCTCAGCTCAAGGAGTGTAGCTAACTGGTCTAGGGATAATCTTATTTTTCTTGCCAATGATTGGTTCAGGGGCAGGGAAAGCACATTATACCTCACCAGGAAGTTAGGCCACTGATTCCAGGAAAAATTTTTTTGCCTTTTGTTTGTTTTTTGAGACAGGGTCTTCCTATGCAGTTCAGGCTGGCCTTAAACTCACTATTGTAGCCCTGGCTGGCCTTGAACTTGCGGCAATCCTCTTGCCTCAGTTTCTTGAGTGCTGGTATCACAGGCATGCACCACCATGCTGCACACCCCTGTTTGTTTTTTGAGACAAGGTCTCACCATGGTCTATGCTGGCCTTGAACTCACTATGTAGCCCAGGCCAGTCTCATGGTGATCCTCCTGCCTCAGCCTTCTGAATGCTAGGATTACAGGTATGTACCACTATTCACAGTTGCTCTAGTCTTTAAAAAGAGCAATAAGAAGTCAGGCTCCCCTCTCCTATCCAAAGTAAATGTGAGAGCATGTAGCCCAACTGGTACTACAGGCAGCCATCATTCAATCATGAGGGGACTAGGTCTAAGAGAAATACACTGAGGACAACAGAATATGGAAAAAAAATTGGGGTTCCTGATGGCACTGCTGAGCTATTGAATCGCCCAGCCCTGAAATCTTTCCTACCCTTAGAATACCTGTCCTGAGTCAGTCATGATGGTGTACATCTGTAATCTAGTACTCTAGGAAGCTAAGGCAGGAGGGTCAAAAGTTCTAGCCCAGTCGAGCTATTTCAAAATAAAAAATAAAAAAGAGAGCCTGGGGATATAGTTCAGTGCAAAGGTCATGGGGTTCAATTCTCAGTACCAGGGGTGTGGTGCCCTTAAAGAAATTAGAATACCTGCTCTGGAGCTAAAAGAAACTCTATTTTTCAAACTAGTTTGAGTTGGGTTTTCTGTTATTTGTAGCTGAAAGATTCCTAAACAGAACAGAACCAGTCTAGATTCTCTGTATTTATGCACTAACGCTCTAACATGCGAATAGTTTCTCAGAGAACAGGTAAAAGCTCTGACTCGGGAAGGACACATCATGTCAATACAGAAAGACTCTATATAGGGAAAGAAATCCAGCTGTCTCTCCTTCCAACAAAAAAGCCTTTAGACCACCTTTCACTAGTCATAATATAATTACCTGACTGAGGTAGAATGTGATTCTGCAAATAGAATTTATATCCTCCTGGGGCCTCAATTTCAAAAACTCCTTCTGCAACTTCGCTGAGTGGCCACTGTAGCTTCCTGGCGTTGTTGACAGCTTGGCTAGAAGCAAGTGTGATTCCCTATGACAAATAACAGTAACATCTACATATATAATCACAACAACCTTTCACAGAACGAGATAAGGAGCCCAAACCCTATTGCCTTTATTGCTGAGGTCAATCATGTAAGATTGAACTGGCTTTCAGAATTTTTGTTCTAGTAATTTTATTTATTTATTTGATCTAGTAATTTTAAAGTAGTTTTGGATACTTTGTTCCACAAAGATTCAAAATTTCATAAATCGCAGGACAACAATTCAAATGCCAGTGAAGTTTGATCCATTTAATATCAAAGATAATCTTTTCAAATTTTCAAGATCTAGCCAGAGAAATCATGATCCTACCTTGGCCTGCCAGCTACCTATATGAGATGATTTGTTTATACCCTCTCTCTCTTTTCCCCCCCAGTTCTAGGAATTGAATACCCAGGGACCTGGGTGTTCTAGGAAAGCCCAGCTCTATCACTGAGCTACACCCTTGGGCCCATTTTTGGTTTTTATTTTTTATTATTTCAGACTAGGTGTCATTATATAGTCTAGGCTGGCAGCCTCTCATGTGCTGGGATTACAGGCATGCAGCATCATACCCAGCTATTTTTGCTTTTTTAAACAAACAAAAAAATTAAATCAATTATAAAAGCATTCTTTAAATTTAATCAAAGTACCTAATAATGTACATTTCTGCCTTCATACAAAGCTAGTCTCATTTCTAGCTTAGACTATCATAATAATTTTTGCTGTACTCCTGTTAATTCATCACCCACTCTGCAGCCAGAGTAAACTTTCCAAAACACAAAACCCTCAATGGCTGGGTGTGGTGGCATACACACTTGTAATCCCAGTGCTTAGGAGGCTGAGGCAGGAGGATCACCACAAGTTCTGAGACCAGCCTGGGCTACACAGTGAGTATAAAGCCAGCCTGAACTACATAGCAAGTAGTAATCTCAAAAGACCAAAACCAAAACCAAAACCACACACATAAAAAATCCCTCAATGGCTCATTTCACTTGAATAGTTTTTTTTTGGTACTGGGGATTGAATTTAGGACCTTGCGCTTGGCAAGGCAGGCATGGTGCCACTGAGCTAAATCCCCGGCCCTCACTTGGATAGTTTATAAAGGCCTAAAAGGTTTACACAATCTGACCCCATGCCACTTCTGACCCTGATCAAAGAACTAAATGTTAAAATATTTAATCTGCTGAAAGATAAAACAGGCAAAACTCTTGAAGTAACAGGTGTAGGCAAGGACTTTCTGAACAGAACTCCAATGGACAAAGGAAATAGTACCAAGAATCAGCAAATGGGATCATAGCAAATTAATTCCAAGGAGGGTATGGGGGCGTGGATGTCAGTGAGGAAGTATCATTGGAGCAAAGGTTCAAAGAATGTAAGGGACTTAGCTATGTGGATATGGGGTTGGACAGAAGGAGTACTGCAGACAGAGAGAAGACCCTGTGCCAAGGCCCTTAAGCAGTGCCTGGCATGTTGTAGGAAATGTAAGGGAGCCAGTATGGCTGGAAGACAGGACAAGGGAAAGATGGTAAGAGACAGGGTCTAGACTCAATCTTCTGCATGTGGATAGCCAACCCCATTTTAAGTTAAAACAAATCTTCCCAGCCAAAAATCTCCTGGGACAGAATATTTACCAGGAAGTCATTGCCAAGCTTGTAGTCTCCGATGCCATAATTGTAAGTCAGCTCTGCAACAAAATGATCATCCTCAGTCCCGAATCCCACCATTGTTTTACTCCATTTCCCATCATAAGGCCTAGAAAAATGAAAGTAAACCCAGTGACCACACACAAAATCTACCTCAGCTCCCCTCCCCTGAAAGAACTACTGGCCACAGAAGGGGCAGTCCTTTCTGGCCCCATAAGTCCTCACAGAGATGAGATGACCCAAGACAAGGCTGAGAACAGCTATGGACAATGCTCATGGGCCCCAGCCACACAAAGATCACTTGTTTGGTACTTACTAGGGGGATGATTCACTTGCACTTCCTCCAAAGGAGGGAGCAGAATCCTAAAGACAGTTCTCCAACCTAACTTTACTTTATTTCTTTGCACATCAATTAACAAGCAGGCAAATTCCAGTAAGGCTTGAAATCCTCAATTTATAGCTCAGACTTGTGGTTGGCATCTGAAGTGGAGGCAGTCTTGTGGGACTGAGTCCTTAGCTTGTAGGATCTGACACCAACTCCAGAGAGGTAAAGAAATGAATTAAATAGTAGGACACCTGGCTGGTATTCCAAGAACAGCTTGGTGTATCATAAGTGTTGTGTGAGAGTACAGAGAAACGCAGGATATCTCCTCAGTGTTCTTCAAGTTGCCTCCCTAATTTACTGTTTTCTTAATTTATTCCACTGTCTCACACTCACTGTGAGACACTGCCTTCTGTTCTCCTGGGGTTATTCAGAGTCTAAAGGAGATTTTAAGATAGGTGTCATACCCATTACAGGCAGCTTTGCAGCCTTCTTCAAATTCCTCATGTCGCAGGACCTGGTAAAGGCATTAGAACAGTAAAGTTTTACTAGTGCTGCATATAGCATATTTAACACAAACTAAAAGGGCAAAACATAGACAGTATCATTTATAAGCTTTATTTAGAGAGGGAGGGGAGGAGAGGGGCGAGGTGAGGTGAAAGAACTTTATGCCTTTTCCAGGCTAGATGTAGTAGAGGCACAAAAGAAAAGTTAGATACCAAGAGTCAGACAACAAGGAAATTGACAAATCTATTTAGATTAGGAAGGAGTACTGTGTAATGAAAAGGTCTGGTCTTCAGCATTACAGAAACATGATTTGTGATTCAGGATGCTATATAACACTGTACAACTTTAAGTAAGCTGCTTAGCCTGAGTTGGTAAAAATGGACACCTTGTCAAAGCAACCAACACAGAAGCCAGCATACAGTAGGGTTTCAAAGTCATAATTTCTACTTTCCTTTTTAATTCCCATTGCTACTATTGCAATTGAATCTTTTTAAAAAGACTATTAAAAAATCATCTTCCTTAACATCACTATCTCTAAAATGCAGCTCTTATCACATCACTGCCCCATTCTAAAAATGTAAATGAACTTCCTACTTATGCAGCATAAAATTCTCACTCTTTAGTATAGCACTCAAGACACCATCAGAAGCAATTCCAATCTATTTGCCCTGATAGCTCATCTCTTCAACTTCAAATAAGTAACCTTGGTTAAATTAAAGGCACATAAAACCAATGGTATTTCCCAAACATATCTTTGTATCATTTATTCAGTTCTTTTAGTATAATTTGTCTGTATAATCTTGATCTGTGGAAATCTTACCTATATTTAGAGGTCAATTTGAATGGAAAGTCTCCATGAATTATTTCCTGATAAGCCAGGTTAGAAAACTCTTCCATTTTTTTTGTTTTGTTGTGTTGTGTTTGCAGTGCTGGGGATTGAACCCAGGGCCTCGTGCATGCTAGGTAAGTGCTGTACCAGTGAGCTACATCTCCAGCACCTTTTGTATTTTTATACTAACAGTGGCTAACACTTATAGAACATATGGTATCTATGTGTTGAATGCTACTTATTTTTTAATACCATCTAGCCAATAAATAACATGTTTAATCTTCACATAAACCTTTTGGTCAATAAAGAAATATAGTTAAGGCGAGCTTTATGGTTTCCTGCTATCATTTACCAACTCTTGATTTCCATTAGTATTAGCTATGTATAAATCCAATTCTCATTTCCATCACATCCCAGACCATGAGCTCGGAGGACGGATACTAAGATTATTTGCACCTTTTTCCAAAAGTCAACATAGTATACTACCCTGAAACAGCAGGTATTTTAAAAATGATTGGTAAATTGAGGTAATTTGCTTAACACATCTTCTGCACTCAGCCCACACTAAACTGAACTCCTGCTCTTCCAAAGAGTGGTGTGCTTCTTACCATCCCTCTCCCTAGCTTATCAGGAGCTCCCCAGTAATTTCAACCTGAGTTTTCAGCTAAGCAACTTCTGCAGAGTACAGCCGGAAACAGGCTGCTTCCTGTCTGGGGAGGAGAGTAGATTCTGACCTCATACTTATATCTGAAGTGTTAAAAGGAGTCTGAGTCAGAGATTTACCAAGAGGGACTGAGTACCCAAAAGAAACCATTGAAATCAGTCTCCCCCGCCCCCGGCCCAGAAACTGAACTCAGGACCTTGCACTTGCCCGGAAGGCGCGGTGCCGCTGAGCTACATCCCTCGCCCCCTCAAACCGGTCTTAACTGGAGCAGAACTCTGAAAGGATATCAAGTTTGAGCCCAGTATGTCGCTCAGTATTAAGGCCCTGGGTTCAAGCCACAGTGGCGGAAGGGCCTAACTTCGAATATTCAGATTATCTACTCAAATCAAAATTTACAAATGTAGTATATAACGTTTTGCTTTCTAATAGACTGTAGTTTGGGACCAGGAGCCAAATAAATACTTGTGAATGAACGTAAGTGAAAGAGCGTAGCATGTTAGTTTCCCTTCAAAACCTGTCTACACGATCTTAGCCATTCGTAAAACGATCTAGCTTGTACTCAGAAACTCGCAATATTTCCCGAAGCTGAAAACCCCACAGTGCCATTGGGGAGTCTTAGGCCTAAGGTCAGACAGCTAGGAACATTTTTCTCAGTTCTCTGGCTTCACTACAAAGCTATTTCTCCCCCATCCCCTTCTCCAGGTGCGCCTCAGTCGCCCGTCCCAGCCTCGCGCACCAGCCCCTGTCGCCCCGGCCTCCACCTTCATCCCCAGGACATCTCGGAAAAAATGCGTTGTCTGGAAGCGGTTTCCCACTTTGAACACGAAGTGCAAAGCTCTGCGAGAGGCCATGATTTGGAACAGCAAACAGTCTTCACTAGACAGCACGGCAACAGACGAACACCTCGAGCAAGGCGCGGGCGACGTCACTAGGCATCGACGGCGCGCTTTCATGAGGTAACCCACGGCGCCGGGAAAGATGGCGGCGTTGGTGAGGTGCATTCAGTCGGTTGTGAAACCATTGCTGCCAATCGTCCAGACTTGGGACCTCGAAGCGCGACGCTGGGTGCGGGCGCTGCGGAGGAACCCTGTGAAAGTGGTATTTCCATCCGGAGAGGTGGTAGAAAAGAAGCGTGCTCCTGGGAAGCAGCCCCGCAAGGCAGCCTCTGAAGCCAGTTCCCAGGAGCAGCGATATAAACAGCCACTTCGTATGTCCCCATCCCAGACGCCTGGTACCTGGGAAGAAGCAGGGCTTCACTACGATAAAGCTTTTCCTGGAGACAGTAGGCTGAGGTGATGTGTTTCTGAGGCTTGTCAACTGTCTGTTTCTCTTCCTGCCTCACAGCGGGATCTCTTCATTTTGATGGAGTTTTTCCAGTACAACCCGCTGTTTTTTTATTTTATTTTATTATTATTCAGAACAAATGTCGCTTGGAATTTGTTTCTATCCTTGTGAAGCTCTTTATGTCTGTTAGAACTGAATGTCTCAGTAACAGTGTTGGTAATCGCCCATCTTTTCGTTTCCATCCACAGGAGTATAATGACAATCGTTAAGTCCAGGTCATTTCGCGAAAGGAAAGGGAAGATTCTGTTGGAAGGTCGCAGACTGATTGCAGACGCTCTCAAGGCAGGAGCTGTACCAAAGGTTTTTTTCTTTAGCCGTCTAGAATACGTTAAGGAGTTGCCAGCCCATAAGTTGAAAGGAGTCAGCCTCATAAAGGTGAAATTTGAGGATATCAAGGATTGGTCCGACCTAGTAGCTCCACAAGGAATAATGGGTCAGTGGTTACACAATGTGTCGCTAGGTATAAAGACCTAGAATTTCTTGTTCATACCTGTCTTAGGGCTAAAATTTTATTTAAGACAAATTCAAAATGTTAACGGCTGAATCCTTTCTTATGACACCCAAAAGAGTGTAAGTCTTAAGCCTACGTATGATGTTTTCAGTGAAAGCTGAAGCCAGTTTCTTACATTTGTATTGTGGCTTTTTATAGTCTTTAGGAAGAGCCATTGTTCCTCATGTTTCTTCAACATTTTTTTTTTTTTGAGACAAGGTCTCACTATGTAGTTGCAGCTGGCCTCAGAACTCACTATCCAGCCCAGGTTGGCCTCTAACTCATGGTGGTCCTCCTGCCTCTGCCTCCCCGGTCCTAGGATTACAGGCGTGTACCACCACACCCAGCCATTTCATAATTTTAAAAAATTTATATTATTCAGTTTATTCACATGATGTTATATTTTAAATTTGAGGAGGGGGCTGAGAGGAGAAATAGATAGGAACTAGTGCTACTCATCAAATGTCATGAACTCTAAAACCTCGTTTTAGTAAGTGGGTCCTCTATAAGTAGTAGGATCTCATTACCACAGACATCCAAGTATAAGTTAAGGACTCTTAGGTTCCCCTGCCCCACTGAGCCATCTTTTGGCCATCATGACCCTAAAGTACTGGGTGCTTGATGTTGTGACATTGTATATATTCAGGACTTTGTATCTTTGTTGTCTTTGGAAAGGATCCTAAATTTTTCTTTGTATTATGTATGAGGGCAGTAACTAGAGTTTTTCGTTTGTTTTGTTTTTATTTGTGGTACTGGGGATTGAACCCAGAGGCTTTGCACTGAGCTACACTACATTTCCAGCCCTTTTTTATTTTTATTTTTGGTACCAGGGATCGAACTCGGGTCCTTGTGCTTGCACAGCAGGTAGCCCTTTTTTATTTTTAAAGACAGGGTCTCTTGAAGTCGATAAGTTGCTGAGACTGGGCTCACACTTGTGATCCTCCTGCCTCAGTCTCCCAGAGGGCTGGGATTACACATGTGTACCACCATGTCCAGACAGTTGTTTATTGGAGCAATTATATTCAACAAGAAGCTCTTAAAATTTTAAAAATTGCACAGTTGTTTGGGAGCATGCTTACAAAGGAACTTTTTATTTGATACCAATTTATATAAAGAGCTTAAAACAGTATCTGACCTAAAGAAAATGTTAGTTACTGTTATCACCTCTACCAGTTCACTAGGAAAGAAACTTGCTGTGGATATGTAGTACATCTATGAAAATAAGTTCATCTACATTAGAGAAATTTCATATACTCTAAGGCCATTTTTATTTTAATATTTACCTTTTTCCAGTTTTTCCCTTTTCCCCTAAACATTTTCCATAAAAGTTTGCAAGCTCGAGAGTACATTGTAGATATTTTTCTTTCTTTTTTTTTTTTTTTGGTACTGGGGATTGAACTTGGGTCCTTGTGCTTGTGCAGCAGGCGGCGAAATTTAGCGAAAACTGAGCTAAATCCCTGGCCCCATTATAGATATTTTTAAATAAGTTTTCACTAAGGATACCACTTACTGTTTTCATTTTTCCAAATATCCCCAAGCCCATTTGTATTCCCTTGTATTAGACTAAGGACAGAGAAGTCACTAGGTAAATATGGCTGTGGTTGGTCTAAAACTGTCAAGCATCTGGACCTCTAGCATGAAGTCTTAGAAGTGACTTAGTCCCACACTATACTCACAATCCATTCTGCAACCTTTGCAGAGTGTGTTCCAGAAATAGTGCTTCTGAGCTGGGGTATTTGAAAAAGGAGTCATTATTTTGATGCATTCAAAGTGTTTGAATTCAGATTATTTTTCCTGGGAATGTAGTTTGAATTTTAAAACAAGCAATGAAGGAGAGATAAATCTCAAGTCAGAGACAGACTGGAAACTAGTTTTTAAATGTTGGTTAAATTTACAAATTGTTTTTGTTTTTTGCAACAGAGTCTTGCTATGTACTTCAGGTTGGCCTTGAACTCACTGTGTAGTCCAGGCTGGCCTTGAACTCAGGTGATCCTTCTGCTTCAGCCTCTTGAGTGCTGAGATTACAGGTGCATGCCACCATGCCCAGCTAAATTTACAAATTATTAAAAAATATTTAGCCTTCCTAATAGGAAAACTGTAAGTTAATAAAGGAAATGCCATTTCCCCCATAAAAATGGCAAAATTTGAAACATTATATACTCTCAGTGACAGGGTTTGAGCTGGGAAACAGGTATTTATGTGTGTTCCAGACATGAGTAAACTAGAATAGCCCTTGGAGAGGGCACTTTGGTGTCATTTATTAACATTAAAAGTGCATATACACTATTTGTCCATCTCACAGGTGTTTGTCCTAGAGAAACTTTCAGACATGTGCACAGTCATAAGGGATATTTATTGTAGCAGTGTTTGTAATGGAAAATTTTAAATGATTTGTCAGTAGAAGAGCTAAATGAACCACAGTACATTTATATTACTAAATAACATGCAGTAGTTAAAATAAGGTAGTTCCAAATGTACTGATACAGTTTTTCCAGACATGTTATCAAGTAAGTAGATCGCAGAATAGTACATACATTTTATGTTGAAAAAGAAATGTGTCTATATGTAGGTAGATGCATAAAGTTCTAAAAGGATATTCTCCAGGATAGAAAACAGGTGGGGCAGGGAGGGGATTGGCAGTTGTGGAATTTTATGTTGTTTCAATTTTTTTCAACCAGAATGTATTTATATATTTTTTATGTGTAATTAAGAACACATAAATAACAATAATCAAATGGAAATTCAAATTATTGCCAGTCCCCACATCAGATAGTGAACTTCTGTGCTCTTTCCTTAGGAATTTTTGCCAAACCTGACTGTGTTAAGATGACATATCCAGAGACTCAGCTTCACCATTCACTACCTTTATTGTTGATTTGTGACAATCTCCGTGACCCTGGGAACCTAGGGACAATTCTGAGATCTGCAGCTGGGGCAGGCTGCAGCAAAGTGTTACTCACCAAAGGTAAGAGCACCTATTGGCAGATAGATTGGTTGGCCATTTTTAAGTGAGCCAGAGCTCTGGGCAGACATGCATGGGTCCACATTGTGAATCTGCCCCTTACTAGCTTTGTATCCATGAGCAGTATACTAAGTATCAGTTCCCTTATCTGTAAAATGGGAATCATACAATTTTGTTTTTGTTTTTGTTTTGAGACAGAGTCTCCATATGTAGTTCAGGCTGGCCTTGAACTCACTATGTAGCCCAGGTTGGCCTTGAACTTGTGGCAGTCCTCCTACCTCAGCCTCCCAGGTGCTGGGATTAGAGGCATGTGCCACCATGCCTGGCTTTCTCTTCAGGGAATTTTGAGAATTACTTGAGATGATGCAAATAAAGTAATTTGCACCATGCCTGAGGCAATGTGTAATCCAGTAAATGTTGATTTATCTTTAAAATTATTTTGAAACCTGCTAGGTTATTAAAGATTTTAAAAATTAATAAGGGTGAAATACAGTTGCCAGTTTTAACATTTGGTTTTAGGTCCTGCATTTAATGATCTTGTGTTCCCAAGCTGTAGGGTCCATGAGACCTTCCTAATCTTTGAATTCTGAGTCCTACGAAAGGAAAGCTGTCAGCAGTGTGACTGACATTTCCCTGACCCTCAGGATGGGTCACACACTCCACGTTAATCTCATTACCTCTGTCTCTTCTCATCAGAAATGGGAGTTATTAGACTTGGCTCTAATTAGAGTTGCCAAATGGATGGGACATGCAGAAAGTGCCTATTACATCTTGGGAGTGGAGGGGAGGGAGAGTATCAGTCATCCAAATCATCTAAGCTACCATTAAACATAAACTAATAGTGATGGTCATTGCTGAGACTTGCCGGAATTGCTTCTTTCAACTCTTCCAGTTGTACCCTGTTGGAGTGTATTTCTCTGGCAGTGTGTGAGACTCAGGTCTCCATAGTCAGCACCTCACTTCCATTGTTGAGTGCTGTGATAGGAGGTATGATTTTAGAAACATTTACATAATCCAGGCAGTGTGCTTTTCACAAGATGGCTGTGGCTGGTATGAAAAAGGTAGAGAAAGGGGTAAGAAATGCTTGCTGTGGTCCCCAGTGTGAGGATACAAGGAGAGAAGTGTCACCTTTTCTTTACTCCCCACTAGGTGAAGGGGTCAGACTACAGAGTTCCTTTTACAAATCTGGGCCATTCTTCTAGTCCCTTCCCCTCATCTCTTGGCCTGTAGCCTGCCTCCCATCTGGTTTCATGCAGTGTGTGGTAAAGCCTGTGTGTGGGGAATGCATGTGGGCACTCCTGTGTCTTACACATCCTGCATCTTAGCCTCCATTTTAAAGCTAGTCTGCCTGGTTAATCTACCTAAGTTTGACAGATCAATTTAAAGTAACATGAGAAGGCTTGTGCCAACAAGTTAGGGGAAGATGGCAGGTTTGTGATGCAGCTATGGTGCAGTATCCTGGTCACGCCATCTCTCCCAGTTTGCCCATGGTGCAAGCAGACTCAGGAAAATCAAGTGTCTGCCATGCAGCGAACACACGGGAGTGGTTAGGCCTGGCACGTGGCAGTGTGTGAAGGAGTAGGTTCCTCTGGCCTCCTTCCTTAAGTATGACAGGGTGGTGAGTGGTTAAGGCTCCTCTTTACCTTGGATTGCTGTACTTACCTACCTCATTTGTCATCTCTTGTGTGCAGAATTTCTGTTCCAATCTGAGAGTGAACATTGAAGCCCAATGGGTCTTTCTAAAACACCGATCAGGTTCTGTCACTGTTTTGGTTACAACCTTTCAGTGGCGTTATATTGTCATCTGATAAAATCCCAAACTATGGTTGGGCATGGTAGTGCACACCTATAATCCCAGCAGTCTGGAAGACTGAAGCAGGAGGATTTCAAGTTCAAGCTCAGCCTGGATAATTTAGTGATTTATTGAGCCCTGTCTAAAATTATAAAAATTCAAAAGAAAGCCAGGAATTTAGCTTAGTGGTTCTGCTGCCTGCCTTACAAGCGCAAGGTCCTGAGTTCTATCCCTGGTACAAAAAAAAAAAAAAATTCACAAGAAAGAACTGGGGACGCCGTTCAGTGAAAAGATCCTGGGTTCAACCCCCAGTACTGCATCAATCTATCAATCAATCCAAACTCTTGAGAACCCGGAAGGAAGCTCCCCTGCTGCCATCCCAAGCTCCTAGGGCAGAGAAGCTGAGCTGGTCCCAGCACACGGAAGGAAGCTCCCCCACCGCCATCCCAAGCTCCTAGGGCAGAGAAGGTGAGCTGCACGGGTGCCAGAAGCACCCCCAACCCACCCACCCACCGGAAATGTGAAGACACATAAACAAGCCTCAAAAACAGACTTCTGGATCACCTACTGCAACCCCAAAGGGAAAGGAGATGGAACAATCTGATACTCAACCACCTGGACTCTGAACTGGCAACAAAAGAGGATCTGGGAAAAATGAAATCAGAAATAATTACTCAGATAACAGCAAAGATTTTGCTCATGGTGCAAGACATGATTAATAAATCTAGAGAGGACACAGATAAAAAATCCAAACTCCTGCCAGGTGTGGTGGCGTATGCCTGTGATCCCAACACTTGGGAGCCTGAGGCAGGAAGATTGCCATGAGCTCGAAGCCAGCCTAGGCTACATAGTGAGACCCTTTCTCAAAATATTTAAAAAAAAATCCAAACTCTCCAGCTTAGCTTCCTTTATCTTGACAGCTGCCTGCCCTCTACCTCCTTTCCCAGCAGAGCCTCACAATCGGCTGGCCTCTTGCCTGCTTAGTTTTCAGACCTTGGTACTCTGCCTCTTCTCTGACTTTGTCCTCTGCCTAGGCCTCTCCCTGACAAGCCCCAAAGACCCAGCTCAGTGTCAGGTTTTTTTAGATGTTTGATGTTTTTCCTCAAAGTCCCACTTTATACGAGTTTTCAGTTACCTTGTTCATGCTTCTTTCATATCACTTACCGCTAGTGGTTTTATTTTTATTTGAGACAGGGTCTCTTATATAGTCCAGGCTGGCCTTGAACTCACTGTATATCCCAGGCTGGACTCACACTTGCAGTGATCCTCCTGCCTTAGCCTCCTAAGTGCTGGGATTACAGGTGTGCACCACCACACCTGGCTCTATTATCACTACTGTTATCATCTGATTAAATATTGTCCACCCACCACCACCCACTGTTCCTTGAGTTCCTAGAGATGGTATTAATTGTTCGCCTCCCTTCTACAGTGTGGGCCACATGTGTATGGACAATGTTGAAGGGATGGACAAAGTCTATCTCCACTAACAGGGAGTAATCCTACAGTCCCTTGCTGGATCTGCCATCACTTAGGAGGCTCTGGAAGGTCCCAGCTGTCGAGAAGGAATGCAAAAAATTGTTTTAGCTCTAGATCCAAAATTAATCTGATTTACTTAGGTTTTCTAATCTGGGAAGGTTTTTTTTTTGGTACGGGGATTGGGTCCTTGTTCCTGCGCAGCAGGCGGTGAAACCACTGAGCTAAATCCCCAGCCCTAATCTGGGAAGGTTTATGAAGCCTTAATTGTAACCTCTCTTTGTTTTCTAGGCTGTGTGGATGCCTGGGAGCCCAAAGTCCTACGGGCAGGGATGGGGGCACATTTCCAAGTGCCCATTATTAACAATCTGGAATGGGAATCAGTGCCCAACTATCTGCCCCCTGACACCAGGGTCTACGTGGCAGACAACTGTGGTCTCTATGCCCAGGCCCAGATGTCTAACAAAGCCAGTGACCATGGCTGGGTGTGTGATCGACGATTCCTGAAGTTCCACAAGTATGAGGAGGAGGTGGAGGAAGACAAGGATCTAGAGACCAGAGCCAGTAAAGGGTGGCTCCCTGAACTCGAGGTGCAGAATTACGACTTGGACTGGACAGAGGCACCAGCAGCTGTGGTGGTAGGTGGGGAGACCCATGGTGTGAGCCTGGAGTCCCTGCAGTTGGCTGAGAGCACAGGGGGCAAGAGGCTGCTGATTCCTGTCGTGCCTGGTGTGGACAGCCTGAACTCAGCCATGGCTGCAAGTATCCTGCTTTTCGAAGGGAAAAGACAGCTGCGGGTAAAGGCAGAATACTTGAGCAGGGACAGGAGTTAACATTGAGAGGATGCCTCTAGCTTCTTCCCTGGCACAGTGTTAGGAGATTGACACAGTTGGCAACTGTGGCTTCCTAGGCTACGTGCAGGAGGAGGAAGTAGGCATTAGTGCCATATGGTTATTGGAACAGTAAAAATTTCCATCGAAGTTTCTGCTTTTCATCATAAATAACAAAGGTCAGCGTTAACTAGAGGTTAGCATTTCCGCTCTCTCCCGCAGTGAGTGCATCATGAGGTGAATCCTGAGTGTGAATGCACATGTCAAACTGTACCCTGAGGATAAAGCAATTTGTAATGTGTGAGGAAAGGATTAAATATTTGTTTTCCAAAAAGTTATTTTGTATTCTATTAAAATGTATTTTGTTTAAAAAAACAACAACAAAGGTCAGAATTCTTCCTAAGATCTCCCTTCACCAGTTTCGAGGTTATAGATGATCCACATGACTGTATATACCTATTTTAAAAACTGTCCATTAGGGCTGGGGTGTAGCTCAGTGGTAGTAGAGTGCTTGGCTAGCATGCATAGAGCTTTGGGTTCTATCCCCAGCACCTCAAAACAAAGTTACTAAGGAGCACTTTTTTTGTTTCCCAAGACATCATCTTGGTCAGAACAGAATTCCCTCTGCCAGCTGAGGGGTGTCTTCTAGCCATGAAGCACTGGTTATAAGCCATGGCCGAGTCACTTGCATCTGATCATCGGTCATTGGAAAATAAACTCCTATGAAGTACAGTACTGGAGATTACATTAAAAAGTTTCTTAAGTATCTCTTTTCATCTTTGGCCTAGTGATGAGAACACTGCTAAGAGATTAGTGACCCAGGAAGCTAAGGGCTACAGGTCTTGGCATTCACCAGCTGGCTGTTCTTGGGGGCTAGATGTGTCAGTCTCTGGGGTTGTTCCAGCCCTCACTACAGCAGCTGCTGTGTGTATTTCTCCCCGTGGCAATCAACAGAAAAGGTTAATTCATCAAGTGATATACCTTCTTACCATCTCTCCAAATAACTTTTTGAAAACTGCGAAAAAGAAATTGAGTTTTAAAATTAGGCTTAACACTGGATTTGTCAGGAGAGCTCTACTCTTTTACTAGCTCCCTCTCATAACTAGTCTTTGTTATAGTTTAGATCTAACGTGTCCCACTAAAGCCTCATGTACTTAGAGGGGGACTTGCAAGTAATTGGATCATGAGGGCAATATACTTACCAGTGGATGAGTCCATTGATGAGTTCATGGCTAAGTGGGCTGTTAGGATCACTGGGAGCGTGACCTGGCACAATGTATTCTTGTCCCCAGCTCCTTCCTCCCTTCCCACTTTGCTTCCCAACCACCATTTGAATAGCTTTGCTCTACCACGTTGTTTCTGCTGTGAACCCAGCCAACCATGGAGTGAATCCACTGAAACTGAGCCAAAATAAACCTGTCCTCTAAGTTGCAGGTGTTGGGTATTTTGTCCCAGGGACAGCAAAATGTACCACTTGATTAGAGGTAATGTACTTATTTACATTTATATTCCCCTTCCATCCACAAAGATAGAGCCACTCAAGAAAATGCCAGTGCTACTAGACGCAACGTGAACAGAGGGTTCCCTCGAGGGAAGGGTGGCCGAGGTTCTGAGAGCTCGGGGCCCTTGGCACACCACACTGCTACAGGACCCTGCTGTTCTCTCAAAACCAGAGGGGACCAGCGAAAGCTGGATCCTTATTTACCAGGTGCCAGCCAGGGATGTGAGGGCAAATGCAGATGGTAATCAGTGTATCTGTGGGCAGCTTTGGAAAGGGGCGGGTGGACTGGAGTGTGGGACTCATTCCGAACACTTTATTTTTTTGAGACAGGCTCTTGCTATGTCAGGCTGGCCTTGAACTCACTGTGTAGCCCATGCTGGCCTTGAACTTGAGGTGATACTCCGGCCTCAGCCTCCCAAGTGCAGGGATTATAGGCATGCAGCACCACACCGGGCCACACACTGCTTTTGTAACCACAAGACAGGGCTGGAGTTAAAGGTAACACTAGGAATGTAGTTTTACCACATCCCTTTGATGTAGTAGCTCTAGTAATGGTTTGGATTCTCTGGGGATCCTTCAGCTGCACATTCTAGGGTGGCTGAGTTGCCGGCATGCTCAAGGTAAAACACGTAACCCTTCTTCCTTGCTGTTTCCCCCAGGTCCCTAGTAAAAGTCCCTTTTGGGAGAAGCAAGTGGTCAGGTGTGCTCAGTGCCCCAAGTGGCAGGTGGCATTGCTTTGGTGTGTTTAAAGGAAAGGGTGTCTGCGGTTTTCAGTTTGGTTGGCAGCATCCTCCCAGGCTGCTGAGCCTGAACTACAACTGGGGTGTCATGCTTTGGTCTGGGCCTGCCAAGGACCCCCACAAATGTACAGTGTGGGGGGCCCACAGATTCTGGAGATTCCATCACCGGTCAGCTTTCAGAAAGCGGGTGTGTTGAGAGTGGAATGGCTGTAGATACCTGGTCAACTTTCAGAAAGTAAAGTAGATGTGCTCAGGGCCTTCTCCTGCGTTGCTGCCCATGAGCAGTTGGCAAACTTGCAGAGCTGAGAAGAGTACAGTTGACTGTCACACCAGCAGGCTCGGCCTGGAAGGCAGCATGGAGAATTCCTGCCACTCCACAGTCTGTCGACATTTAGACTCCCCCTCAACACCTTAAAAATGTGCTAAGAAACAAGTTATTAAATACAAGCCTTTATCTTTCCAGCATGAAACCAATGTCCCATAATTTGTAACAATCTCTGGATCATGCTCCTGCTGGGTTTTATTACAAGATAAAAATGAAAGAACTAACCATCTACCATATCATGGGTGTCAGAGGAAAAAACTACATATTATTCATTGTATACTTGATGGTTCACACAGCGTCTGAGTTCTTTTGTATATTCATGGCTATGATGTAGCCTGGGGGTGAGGAGGAGGGGCAGGAGGTAAACTGCTGTCTTTCAAATGATTACTAGGGACCAAGTGGTGGTTACAGAATTTCCTGAGTAATACTGGAAAATCATCATCATGCATTCTCAATTTGGAGCCCAACACTTGTTCTGTCACCATTTTCACAGTAAACAAGAATGAAAGTGAGCAGCATATGACAAGAAAAACTGCTTGGCTAAGATAAACAGCCGTCAAATGCTAGCCAAGCTTCCGCCTTTTGTTGAGGCTCCCCCATAGTACTGGTTTCTGCCACGAGGTGGCAGACCACACCTCAGAAATGGCTCTCAAAGCTGCAGGGAGGAGTCAGGATTTTTCCTGGATTTAAATTGTTAAAAAGAAGGGAAAGAGAAGGATGGAGTCCAGTCTCCAGCACAGAGCACGCTCAGAGGTGTCAGAGATCCTTGCAAATTGTCTCATAATTTTGGCACAAGTAAGAATCTAAACTTTAGGAAGACACTACCAAAAACTCAAGAGATGGGATGTGGCAAAACTGGCTCAGCTTCTCCTTGTGACAGAGCCTCTGGGCAGACATTGATGCCCCAGTGAACCGAGACACTGGGAGCCACACACTGTCCTTCAATTAGTGTTGCAGGGCAAGGAGATCAGAAACCATTCTCTTCCCTCACCCCAGCTGCTAGATCCTGCACAGATCCCTGGTCATGAAGGCCCATAGGAGACAGATCGCTGGGCACCTTTTATCACTTGCCCCACGGTTCAGAGCAACTCCGGATGTCACCACCATCCAAGCTGAGCTGCATCTAGCACCACCTTTGCCGTTCCTCACAGAGAGACCTCAAAACAGCACCTGCCCAAGGTTTCCCAGCTAGTGCTGAAAACCCACAGCTGTGCTGCAGGACCTGGTTCTCTTCACTGGATCCAGCTACCTCTTTCCTCAAAAGCAGACTTCACTTGTGCTTTTAAATTTTTTCAAGAAACCACTTGTGGTGCTTTTTTTTTTGTACTGGCCCTGAACCCAACCAGGGTCTCACACATCCAGGCAAGTGCTTTACCACTGAGCTATACCCTCAACCCATGTTTTTACTATTATTTAAAAATTCTGAGACAGGTCTTGTTAAATTGCCTAATGTGGTCTCAAACTTTTTTTGTTTTGGTTTTTTGAGACAAGGTCTCACTGTGTAGTTCAGGCTGGCCTCAAACTCACAGAAATCTTCCTGCATCACCTCCCAAGTGCTGGGATTACAGGCATGTGCCATCATGCCCGGAATGGCCTCAAACTTTTGATCCACCTGTCTCCGCCCTCCTGAGTAGCTGTGATTACAGGTATGTGCCACCATGCCTTGCACGTTGCCACTTTTAAACTCCAAGATCTTATTTCCTCAGTGAATGCATGAATGGAATAAACTAGAAGCCAAATTAATGGATGAAGTGAGTTTCTGAACTCAGGAGCCATGCCACATCTGAGGAGCTGACATCACAGCTGCAGGCCAAGTCCTCACTGGAAGGCTCAGACAGCACTGACCTCAATGTCCAAGTATGACTGATAACTGCAGTGTGTCATGGATGGGATCAGGTCTGCTCTTCCTTTTTTTTCTTCTCTTTGAAATGGGGTCCTGCTACATTGCTCAGTCTGGCCTCAAATTTTGATCTCCCTCAGCCTCCCAGTAGCTAGGATTACACTATGTCTGACCTTTCCTGCTCCTAATACTGGGATTCCTAGTTGTGTTGGAGGCAAGAGCTCCTTTTCTCAGCTGAAGCCTTAGAGAGATGGGTGGGCCACTGCCAAAGCTGCTGCTTCCTCAAAATGCAAGAAGGAACAAAGGTTGGGCAGGAGGAGCAGTGGCTGGAGCAAGGTCGGGGCTCAGCCTCCTTCACACCACTGGACAGAAAGGGAGGCACATACTGACTGCAAGCCTGCAGAGTGGCCCTCATGACTTGGGACTTCCATGTCCTCTGGTGTCCAAAGGAGAATGATTATTTTGGCCCTGAGTCCTAAGACCATGTCACCGTGTCCTCCCTGTGGCCTGTGTGTGTGCCTCATTTGTGTGAGGCATGAGCACCCAGGAATACAGACGGAGGCTACTTCTGCCTACTTTGGGCTGCAAACTGGCCTCTGGGGATGGAGGTTTATACAAGTTGGCACATTATTTAATAGAAATACAACTGTCCCTCAGAACAAGTTCCACCTACACCTAATAGCACATTTCCTGGCTTGGGAAGTATTCCGAGACACCAAGGGCATGAGCCACACTTACGCTTTGAAAAACTAAGCACACTTGCTTTGTCCTTTCACACATAAGGTGAGCATCCTTCTCTCCCATCTCGCCCAGGAGGAGAAATCCCAGCCATAAAGCAGGACCAATATAAAAATCTACATACAGCCTTTTGTTTCCTGGAAAACCTTTCACCCTCCACACATGTTCATAGGCCACTGGCACTAATAAAGAAGCTCACAGTCAACCACCGTCTGTCCCCAAAGAATTTTCCCTTAAGCAGACTACCAGGAGGAAAGGGCATGTTCTTATCCCTATTGACATTTAGCAATGCCGGGTGTAGGGAAGGTGCTGACTTCAATGCAACTGCTTTTAAGGGAAAACATGAAAGATCCTCCTGTGCTCAGGGTCCCCAGAGAGGAGCTGCGGGGGCACTCCTGATCCTCTGTAGTCCATGTCTATTGCCACCCCAAGATCTGTGCCCAGTGGTGTTCCAGTCCCACGGGGCAAGCCTGGGCCTGCCCAGGCTAACTGGAGAAATGGTACTATGTACAAAATGTGTGTGTGCTCCTGCATGACTGGACAGGGAGGGACCACATGCTCACTTGGGTCCCTGCCAGCATGACAGTTCTGTATGTGCATTTCTCCACATGTCTTCACACATCCCTGGTTTTCTCCCCACACTAAACAGTGTAGCACCATATCAGGTCCCACTGGTCTGTTCCGAGATCATACCCTGGTTGCCTGTCTCATTGTTGAATGCAGTTGGCTGTGTGGAGCCCAGCAGCAGGAGTGGGAAGAGCTTTTTAGTGTCTAGTTAGGCAACAGGAAAAAACAAAACCTGGCTGAAAATTACAACTTGAAGCTTGGCTGATGCCAGAAAAGCAGTACTGGCTCCCTATGCTGGGATGAATGATGGCCAATGATTTCAAACCACATTTGGGGGGAAGGGGGCATAAGCAATAGCAGAACATCACCTCACTCCTGGAAAGAAAACTGGTTTCCATCTGCCCACTCTACATAGCAGTCCCAACACGTGCCCTTTCCCTTAAACAGATCTTTAATGTGGTGAGACAGGTTAAAAAAGAAATATTCATCTCTGTTGTGAGAATGGGTGGAATGGGATCTGGAGGTTGTTGCAAGTTGTGAATACAAAGTCAGGAAACCCAGGGTGGCATTTCTATAGCCATCTTCCTGTCTCAATCTGCAGGACATGGCTTCCCTTGCTGTTGGTAGAAGCCTTTGAATATATCACAGCTGGGGTTTTAAGCCACTTCCAATAGCAACAAGGCTTGTAAGGTATTTTGGAACTGCTTGGTGCAATCTGCCAACCACCCACTCTATCTACATCAATAACTTTTAGGATTTCTCATACCATGAAGCTCTTCCCTAATGTTTCCCCCCAGTGTAGCTACTGTCTAGACCTAGATCTTTTTAGTAAATCTTTCCTGCTGATATAAACCTACACATCCACTCCAAAAGGGGAATTCTGGTGACAAAGATCCAGGTGGCTTTAGTGGCTAGTGAGTAAGAAGAGTCAATCTAGTACAGGTTAAAGTATCACAGATGTCTTCTACTTACTCCATTGCAGTGACTTCCAGTAACTCATCACTGGACTTGTTGCTTCTGCTCCCAAAGACAAGTAGCTACTAAGAGGGATTCTCTGGCCTCTAAGACAAGCTTGACATAAGATGGGGGTGGCGGGGACAGACGGACGACACACATGGACAGAAATCTTCCAAGGGCAGGACTTCATCTTGTACCCACCCTGAGAGGTGCTGGGAGAGTTTCTTCAGAAGTTCCTTATCCTTGGGTATAGCTGGGCTTGGGTGTCCCCAACTCTTGCCATTCTTCACAGGGACACCCATGCTGCGTGTTATGGTCTATATCTTGATGTCGCCCAAGAGCCTCATGCTCTCATAGGCAGGGTTTTTGGAAGGTGATTGAATTATGATGGGAGTGATATAGCTGACTTGTTAGGAGATGGGGCCTATCGGAGAGGCAGCTGACTGGCGGTGTGACCAGAAAGGGTGTTTCTCCCTCCCTGGCTCTTATTTTCTCAGTTTCCTGGCTGCCATGGCATGAGCGGTTTTTCCTATACTATACTTCTCCGCCATGCCATCCTGCCTTGGAGCCAGCAGACTGTGGACTGAAAACATGAGCCAAAAAAAACTTCTTTAGGTTGTAGGTCCTGGGTATTTGTGTCTCAGCAACAAGCAAACAACTAAGACCCTGAGTTAGTCCTTGTATGCAAACCACTCCCCCCAGCCTTCTCAGATTTCAGGGCACTTAGCTTCCCTGCAGGGCTGGAGACTGAGGGAATGTCCACAACGACTTCTGCAATCTGAGAATTCACCCTCCAAGTGCCAGGGCAAACCAGGTGGGGTGGTGGCCAGAGCTCCGGGAGGGATCTTCTTCTGGCACTCATCCAAATGAGCGTCCTGGCTTCTGGAACCAAGATCTGACAGATGGCCACATTAATTCTTAGGACACCCCCCCCCCCCCCGCCATCTTCCCCACCCTCATGCCGAGGAATGAATTCAGGACCTTGCGCCTGCTAGGCAAGTGCTCCACCACCACTGGGCTATATCCCCAGCCCCAGTTCCTGGGACTCTTGAAAATTCTGGAACATAACCACCAGAGGTTGTCTCTGGCCACCGCCTAATAGATCAGGGAAGGCCAAGTGGATGATAATGTCCAGAGATGCCTGTTTTATTTCTTACCAGGTGATTGCATTTCAGGCTGGCAACATCAAATAGTCTAATTACCAACTACTTTTGTACCTCCAAACTACAAACCAACAATCCATTTCAGAAAGGAACAACAGTGTCAGTAGCTCATGGGGGAAACTGAGTTTTCCAAATAAATGGTTTTGGTTGGCAGAATGCTGAGTGAAGCTTAGGGTAAGGCCCAGGATTGTTTGAAGACCCTGATACCTGACTGAGACAGGCAAAAGCCCCTGTGAGTCCCTAGGCCTAAGCCCTCCACCCCCAAGCCTAAGAACGTAGTTGTTTCCCCTTTTGTGGTAAGTTCTGCTCAAGTAAGAGGACAACCTACCTGAGCTCAGAAAAGGGGCCCAAGACCAACTTGTAGTTGCCCTGCCGTCTTGCCCCACTCCTGCTCTAGGGCACAGCTCCCTCTGCAGCTTCTTTTTAGGAAAAAGCTTGGCTTCTGGTAAATTCTTGTTGCTTCTTACTGTTGCTTTGAGAAGAAAAGGGGACAAACAAGGGTAATGGCAGGGGGGTGCAGGTGCCTTGGCAGAGGTCCCGCAGCCTCAGGCACAGAGCTGGGCAGAGGCAGGTCTGTGCCAGCTTGGCAGAGCTCCTCTAAGAACTCAGAGCCTGGTGTCTTGAGAAGATGCCCAAGGAAAAGAATTCATTAATAAAATTCCAAGACAGCTGGAGCTATTTGCAGCAGCAGGCAGAAATTAGGGGAAAGATAAGAGCAAAGAAGAAAGAGGTAAGGAAGGAATTACAAACTCTAGTCACATGGTAGGAGCGCAATAAAAGCAATTACTATATGAATCATTACCATAGCTACTCATTTTTCTCACCCCCCAAACCCCAAAAGCTTCCTTTTAGATTTGGAGGTCTGCTGCCCAAGAACCCACTGACAAACTGCTGTTTTTACTTAGGACCAAAAAAGATGAGGTCCCCTAGAAAAAGATGCTCTCACCAACAGCTCTTAGCTGGTGCCTGCACAGTCAATTGCTCTTTGTCTGCTCCACCTGCATGCACGCGTGTCACCAAGCAGTTCCCTTCCAGCTGTCTTAGGTGCTGTGTATGTGAGCTGACCCCAGAGTCAGAGCCCCAATCTGCTATCCCTCACCACAACAGGGCCTTCACAAGAGCTAGTGACCTAGAGAGAGTGCTGCAGTCTCAGTTTTGTCCAGGTTATGTCATCCCCACACACCCCAAGCAGTCTCCCAACACAGTGGGTTCTGCTGCTGTGAGGATGTGCACCCTTGGGTGCTGGCTGAGAAATTAATGCAGAAACAAGGCACCACAGAGAGGTTGGACTCTTGGGTTGTATGATTCAGTACACGGTGGTAAAGTCCAAGGGCAGAGGGGAAGATGGAGAGGAGGAGAAGGATGAGGAGACTGAGTCTTAAATAATGGCTCAGGAGGCTGGAGCTCCACTAGATGGGTTCTGGTTTGAGCTTTTCTGCTAGGAAGTCATTCACAAAGGCCTCCACAATGGCAGGGGTGATCTCCTCCACGTCCATCACGTACTTGGCCCGGGCAGACATATCCAGAATGGTGAGCAGAGGGGCAGCCTCAGGCAGGTTGGTGTAATCTCGCAGGGAGTCAGTCATATCGTCCTGGAAGTCACCAGAGGAGAGAGAAAACTAGTAAGTTTTAAAAACAGAGTCCCCTGAGGAGCCCATTCTCCTCAGAAGACAGACAAGGACAGTGGCTCTGTCTTAAAGGGGAGGTGACCCCATCCTGCCTTAGGGAGAAGCCTACTGCTTTGTAAAATTCCCTCTACATCTGAGTCATTTGTCTTTATTAGCATGCAAGTAACTTTAATATGCCCTCTGATTTTTAAAAATGTGATGTTCTTTGATTGCTTTTTTTGGAGACAGGGTCTCACTATGTTCAGGGTGGTTTTGAATTCACTATGCAGCCCAGGCTGGCCTCAAACTTGGTGATATTCCTGTCTCAACTTTCTGAGGGCTGGGATTATAGGCGTGTGCCACCATGCTTGGCTTTGCTTTTTTGTATGATCTGGGGTGTGGTGGTACTGGGGATTGACCACCCATTAGCAGTACCACTAAACTACATCCCTAACCTTTTTTATGTTTTGAGATAGAGTCTGGCTAAGTTGCCTAAGCTGGCCTCAAACTTGCAATTCTCCTACCTCAGCTTCCCCAGCAGGTAGGATTGCCAGAACATGCCACACATCTGGCTTGATTGCTTATTTCTGCAATCAACTCTCAGTTATTGTTAGCCCCCCTGTGGATTATCTGAGGCCAGCTGGACTTTGATCTGGAATGGTTTTAAATAGAAATGACTCACTGCCTTCCACACTGTGGTTTCAAAGAAGGTAGAAGTTGCCTTGCCAGGCAGGTCTGAAGACAGGGTTGCTTACACACTAAAAGTTTTCACTGGTTGGCTGCATTTGTCTGAGAAAGAAGCCGGCACTTTTCACCTATTCCCAGCAGCTGTCCAGGTGAACTGCTCTCATATCAGGTACTGCCTTGTTCAAATATAAAGGCAAACATAAATCCAATGATGAGAAAAAGGTTTGTCAGGGAGTGACCATTTGGGCTGAGCTTTCACACTACTGACACTCATTTGGTAGGTAACAGAAAATAGACTTTACCATTCTCGGATCATTTTGCTATAAAAATGGACAATATTCTAAACTTAAAGAACCAGATGTGGTAGCATATGCCTGTAATCCCAATATTCTAGGAGGCTGAGGCAGGAGGATTAAAAATTCCAGCCCAGCTTGGGTGACTTAACTTAGCAAGAATTTATTTCAAAATAAAAAATAAAAGGTCTAGGGATATAGCTCAGTGCAAAAGCCCTGGGTTCAATTCCTAGTGGCACAAAATAAATAAATAATAAACTTAATGAAAAACCTGGGCTGCCCTGTGAAGAAAAGGTTCATTTCTGGTCTTAAATGGGGGTGAGGAGGTTTACAGCTTACTGATTTCTGAGACAAAAACAAAAACAAACCCCAAACAATTACTTTCTCAAAAAGCAAATCTTTAGGGAGACTTAGTGAGAGTCCTTCGTTCCTCTAAAACAGTATGCACTTCCCAGCAATGCTGGGTGATTCAACATCTCTGGCAATCTTCACCCAATTCAGAGCCTCCATATGGGTTAAAAAATCTTCATGACAAACAAGAGAGGCACCTGGACAAACACTGCACATCTCCTTCCCACTAGGAGGCCTAGACCAAGCCAAAGGCTCCACTGCCACCTCCCCTCTCCGTCTCCTTCTTCTTTTCTTTTTTTTGTTACTGGGGATCAAACTCAGGACCTTACGCTGGAGAGACGGGCAAAGGAACCACTGAGCTAAATCCCCAGCCCTCCATCTCCTTCTGAGCAAATCACAGGGAGATGAATTTTAATGTCCACTAAGGCTTCAGAAGGGCTAAATTCTGCCTGCCACAGGGCATAGGAGCAAGGCAGAAAAAAGGGGCTCCCTTTACCCTAGGCCAGAGTCCTGGGTTCAGTCAGTGCCTGATGTTCCAGCTCCCTGTCCCCCTTCCATGCTGCTTTGCTTCTGAGCATGAGGAGAGAATGGAATCAGGAAAGCCATCAAAGCCAGAAGCCCTGGTGAAGTGCACAGCAAGACTGGAGCAGGGGGGGACTGGAAGAGTGGGTGACACAGCCACCTCTGCCCAGCCTTCTGGGTCCAGGCAGCCTTCCTCCTGCCCTCACCCTCCCCTTCTCCTTCCAGCCATGACTGAGTCCATTTATCAGAGACTATGGACCAAAAGAGGAAGAGCTCTGCTTGCGGAGCCATTGGGTCCACACTTCAGCCCCCTCTCCACTGCCTACTTCCTGTGTGACCTGGACAAGACACCTCTCCAAGCCCAGGTTCCATTCTCTACCTAGTGGATTGAACAAAGGCTCCCTCCTGAGGGTCAATGTGAGGGTGAGCCAGCGCCAGTACCCAAGCCACCCTGCAGGGAGCGCAGGGGTCCCTCAACCTGTCAAGCCTTGCTTTCCTCCTCCTGGGCGGCGAGACAGGACCATGGCTAGATTCCCAGCCAGAGAGGTGAGACACAAAGAAGATAGCAGGTGAAGCACTTGGCTCGGTGCCTGGGATCCTGAAAACCTTCAAATGCTCCTTTTCAGCCTCATTTCTAAAGCCCCGCCCCACCGCGCTCAGCCCATTCTGTTCTGCACCCATCTTTTCTTCCCAGCCATTCTCCAGGGGTTAGAGTTTAACACATGCAGAACAGCTCACTGCGCTTTGTGTGCAGCCCAGCGGCTGGTGAGCCCTGAGGCAGGGCCTGTGAACCCTCTTTATTCCCCTCCACCCCAGGGCTAAGCAGGGAGACTTGAGCTGCCTTCGAGGGGCCCCAGGGGTGGCTATTGAGGAGGTGATGAATAGGTGGTTCAGGGTGTCTGGCTAACCCGTCTTCCCCACGCCTCCCCAGGGATTCAACCAGCATGAAATAAGCCAGGGCTCTGACCAACTGGAGGTACAGACTAGTGCACGCAGGACAGGATGGCCTCACAGAGCATCGGTGAATGCCTGTGTCGGGGCCGCCGGGGTTGAGTAGGAGGCAGTGAGCATGCGCAGAGAGCTCTTGGCAGGGAGCAAGGAGCGCGCCTGCGCTGTGTGCCATCTTGCAGAACATGGGTATCTGTGAGATGTAGGTTCCCACTCCTCAGGGCAGATGGGCACCTATTCAGAGGGTTCCACTCCAGGGCTGCTTTCTCAGCCTGGGACAAATCCCCTGTTTTGTCCAGCCCAACAGAGGCCCAGGGCTTGGATGCTGAAGATTGAGAACAGCAATAGCTTCCAACATCAGCACTCTCTCTGACCTGGCTGGGTGACTGCGGACCCCAGCTGTGGTCAAGTTGGGATTCTTGCAACGGGCTAAGGCCACTCTGCAGTATGGTGTGGAGGAACCAACAAGCCGACACTGTGTAAAGCATTCAGGGCCTGTTCTGACTTAGCACCGAGGAGTGAGAGTGGATGGTAGATGTGTGTGGCGGGGACTCCCCCACAGCCTAGGTAAGTAACCACCCTGGGAGGGCTTCTTACTGTTTTGAGGCTGCCAAGTGGGCAGGAAGCACGAAGCAGCAGGGGTAGGAAATGGTTTTCCTTGGCAAATGACACACCTTTTCTTCCACATTTGTCTATGGCAGAGTCAACCCAGACCCAGAGGTCCCTTCAAACCTCCTCAAGGCCAGTATCACTCATGTCCTAAAAGTCCTCAGCTGAGCCAGCCTTGTCAGGGCCAGACCCTGTTCCATGCTCACCTCCCCAGCCACAAAGAACAGAAGTGGTGCCTCTTCCTCTTTGGCTTTGTACTTGGCAATGATTTTCTCTGCTATTGGCTGAATCAGTTGTTTGGCTGCCTCAGACTCTCCATCATCCTCAGAATCTGTGAAGAAGAAGAGGGAAAAAGACAGAAAACTCTGGCTTGTTAAATAGTGGTACCCACCAAGTGGGCCTGGGCCCTGGGCCTGAGATACAGAAAGGCCCATCTGAGCAGCCCGAGTGGAAAAGAACTTTTGCTTAGACACAGGTCTACTTTCCGTGTGCAGCAGTGTCTACACATATGTGCAGATACATGTGTAGCAGCAGCAAGGAGCACTCTACCAGCACTTTCCTGCAATGGCTAACCAGGAACAACTTGCCTCAGTGAGTAGTACCAATGCTCTGGGTAGATACCTCATCACTGAATTCCTCACAGACGCACCCTGGAAGCTGAGCTTCCCCCTAAGCAAGGACCTCAGGTCCCTCCTGGTTTTTCACTCCATCACAGAATGAGAAGCCATGACCTGGGACCTCTGGCTTTGTAGTGAAAATGGCAGAAGTACTGGCAGAGAGGGGTGAGGAGTGAGGTCCAGTCTTCAGCTTTGATGGTGACAGGGCACCTTCATAGCTGACACCAGACGTGGCCTAGGTGGGGAGGCCAACTGCACAGGAGAGCATGGATTAGGGTCCCCCAACAGGAGCAGCCACACACAAACAAGGTCCCAGGTCTTAGGTGATGAAACCTGTAGCCGAGAGCAAGGGCAACATCCCTAAGTGGCAAAAGCAGGGGAGGAAGACAGCAGGCTCCTATACAGGGATTTCACCGAGCAGTGACACATCACTCAAGAGGCCCTCAGTACACAGAGATGGCAAGACATACTCTAGATCCCCTAGTTTGTTTGTGATGTTATCCAACTTGCCTTGCCTCTCTGGGACCCTCTTTCCACATTTCTGCTAATGGCCATGAGGTACCTAATGGTCTCTGGGTTCAGAATTGTTTCCTACCTAAACCTAGGATGGCAGAAAAAGCCCCAAGATTGCCTCTCTCCAGGGGGTCTTCCTTCCCAAGCCCAGAGTCAGCCTACAAGTCCAGTTGCTTAAGAATTCCCTTGTCTCTGCTTATTAGCTCCCCTCCTGGTGCTCCCCAAACCAGACCTTAGATAATGGAGGAGGATGCTGCTCCCCAATTCCTCAGCAAAGCAGGTATGGGCCATCTCAGCCATGGTCTAGTACAGCAACTCAGCTGCAGGAGAGCAACAAGTCCCATGGGTAGGAGCAACATAGTTCTTGGTTAAAACTATGTTTTGCTCAGTTTGCAAAAGCAATCTAGCTCATCCCACTGGGCGACAGGGACCTAATGTGGATGCTCTTCTGTCCTTCTGCCCAGAATGAGCAAAGTCACCTAAATGGTCAGTGAGGATGGAAAAGCCAGAGTTGCCTCCCTGAGCTCCTGGGCCAGCTGTTGCAGCCCCTGAACAGTCTGAACACAGAGGGCTCAGAAGCAGCCTGGGGTGAGCTGTGGCCTGAGGGGGCCCAGCCCCCTGCAGCTGCTGTGTGTGCAGCCCTGCCTCTTTCCAACAATGGCTCTGTTCATGGGGGTCTGGGGCCATCCTCCAGGCCTGACCTATTCTGCCTAGCTGGCAGCCGGGAACAACTAGGAGGAAAGCACAGCAGCAACAGCTCCCAGACCACCTCCCCAGAGGGACAGCCATGAATAAATCATTGGGGTCAAAAATGAGGCCGCTGAAGAGAGACAAAGGCCTAAGCTCAACAGGGTTAGTGGCAGAAAGAGGCTGCCGGTAAGGGCAGCACTCAAGTAAGGGGCATCCTGGTCCACCCCCCCCACCCCACCCCGGGCCCCCACTGAGCTCCATACCTACAAAAAGGACGAGGCAGGGGCCCTCGTTGAGCTGCACAGCATTGGAGTCAGAGAGCTCCAGCACGGGCTTGGGGTGCCACGGGAACTCCCTGCAGTCCTCGTCGTTGAGCACCTCCACCCGCCCCTGCCGCGTGATCACCTCCCCCTGCGGGTCCAGCACGATGAGCGTGGGGATGCCTGCAAGAGAGAGTGCTCATCTGGCTACCAGTTCAGGAGAGGCAGCCAGGTCGGGGACACCTGGCACACTCACAATTAAGAATCCGGGCCTGGAGCCTGAAAGCCCTGGGCTGGATCCAGCTTGGCTGCTCAGTAACTACAAAACTTCCTTGAGTCTGTGGAGAGCCTCTCTAGAAACCCTGAGCAGCTGCTTTGCCTGGGCCTCAGTGTCCTCAGCAACAACATGGAGAAGGTGCTGCTGTTCCTACCCTTTCCCACTCATCAAGAGCAAAGAGTAATGCCCTTAAAAAAATGAGCACGCAGCTGGTGGGGTGTGTGTGTGTGTCCCCATCCCTATAGTCCCAGCACTCTGGGAGGCTGAGACAGGAGGACTGCAAATTTGAGCCCAGCATGGGCAATTTAGCAACTTAGTAAGACCCTGTCTCAAAATAAATTGAAAAAGGGCCAAGGATGTTCCTCAATGTGAAGGCCCAGGGGTTCAATCCCTAGCATTGAAAGAAAAACAAAACAAAACCGAAAATTGAGCACATGGGTCAGGGGTCTACTCAGTGGTAGGGCACCTTCCTAATACGCAGAAGGTCCTTATTTTGATCCCTAATCCTGTGAGGAGGAGGAAGAAGAGAAGGAGGTGGAGGAAGACTGAACACAGGGTCTTGGCGCTCTGGAAAAGGCAGTCACTGGTGACTCCTTAAAGACGCAGAAGACCTCCCACTTGTAGGGAGTCTAAAACTGACTGAGGTGGTGTAAGGACACACACACACACACACACACACACACACACACACACACACACGTAGCACAAGGCAACTGATGGGAGCAGAGGCAGGAGGCCAGGCCGCAGTGAGCTGGGGCCTGCAAGGGAAGAGCCTGGGGCCAGGGCTGGAGCAGCAGAAGCAGGGAAGAGGATGGACAGCTGGCTGCCCACAGACCAGAATAGCATTTTGGGGGGCCCTACCCCAGGCCCAGCCCTGGTGCCAGTACACGCTGAGAGGGGCAATCCCAAAGGGTGTAGTACCAGGGTCCTGGGCTGCAGTAAGAAATGCAACATAGAGTTTGCCTGCAAAACACACACTGTCAACCATGAGGCCTCTGGCAAACGCCGAGAAAGGTCCCTCCGGGCTGACAGTGCTGTCTGTGTCTGCACTTCTTTGCTCTTCACACCCGACTCCCCACTGCTTCTCCTCGGGCCAGGGCCACCCTTCCCCACCACACAGTCAGCCTCCTCCCTGTCCTCTGGGGACATTTGTCTCTCCATTGGCAGTCTGTCCCCTCCCCCAAAGCTATACTCTCCTCCCAGGCCAGAACAGAGCTTGAATTTTATATGAAAGCCAGGGCAATTTAGTATTGATAGATTCCAAAGTATTCGGTCAGTAATTTGCTCCACTGACATTTTACTTCTCCATGGGGCGTACGGTGAAGTACCAGAAATATGGCCCTGGTGTTTTGTAACCTGCTGCGGCAGCCAGCCCAGTGGGCATGCAGTAGTGGGCCTGTCTTCAAAAGGAATAAACGAATCCATTATGTTTACACCTATTAGGAGAAGTGGCTAGACGTGTCAGAGAACAGGTCCAGGGAGAAATGGGCTCCAGGACTGCTACTCCTGCCACGTCACACACAGAGACATGCAGCTGGCATTCCCTGGGGACTTTTAAGGTGCACTGGACAATGAACAGGACTCCTGAGAAGTTATGTGTCAGAGCTCAGAAGTCCAGTGCTTCCAGCCTTGTCCTGACAGCTGCATTTTTCCCCGAGGCCTGGGCCCACATCAGGTGTGTCTCTATCCCTGGGATCAGAGCCTGGACTTGAGTCAGCTGCACACAAGTGCTCCACATTACATGCCAGTAAAGCTTTGGCAGTAAGGGGCTTCTTGTGGGGAATTAAAAAGGGGCACTCATTGCTGCTTGGCTTGAGTCCTCATTTCCCAGCTTGGATGGCTGGGGTGGCTGGGGTGTGGGGGGGATCACAGTCAGGATTCTAAGGAAGATCCAGGCAAGTTCCTCAGCTTCTTCAAGCCTCATTCCACAGCTGCCAAATGAGGATAATGAGTTTCCTATCTTGGTTGGTCGTGGGGCAGAATAAACAAGATGTTAGTGTAACATACTGTTAGCAGAGTACCTAGTATACAGTAAGTACTCCATAACCACTCACTATTATTATAAATCAACTCATTTTTTAAAAAGTCATCTCTAAGCTGATGGTTTAGCTGGTGAGCAGGCAAAGGAACAGAGGACTGGGGCCCCTTTCTCTCTCTCTCTCTCTCTCTCTCTCTCTCTCTCTCTCTCTCTTTCAGGCTGGCTTTGAACTTACTATGTAGCCCAAGCTGGCCTTGAACTCACTTGCAATCTTCCTGCTTCAGCCTTCTGAGTGCTAGAATCCTAGCAGATATGCGTCACCATGCCCTGCTTGGGGCCTTTTTCTAGTGAGAACAACAGTAACCTCAGGCTGGGCTGGAGGAAGTGAGCTAAAGAATGGAAGAGACAATGTCAATATAGCCAGAGTTCTAATAGCAACGTCTGTCAAGAATGGGGATGGTAAAAAGAAAAACAAAAAAGGCAGGGATGTTGCTCATTGGTGCCACCCCTGCCTGGCAAGTGCAAGGTCCTGAGTTCGATCCCCAGTACTGTGGGGGGGGGGGATGGGGGTCTTCTACTTGAACCAACCTAAGCTTCACTTTTGAGCTTAGAACATATATCTTATGCTCCTAGAGAGAGCTCAGGCCTTCCTCTCAGGCCTGGGAAGCTGGGCTGGACCTGGAGCAGTACCTAAGAGTCCCTTCTGCCATCTCCCACAAAGCAGAGAAGAAAGGAGATAGCTTAAGGGCCAGGGATTTAGCTCAGTGGTTCCGCCACCTGCCCTGCAAGCACAAGGACCTGAGTTCGATCCCTGGTACCAAAGAAAAAAAAAAGAGAGAGAGAGAGCTTATGTAGCCAGCTCCAAATTCCTTTCCTCTGGGGAGAACCTATCGGTGAGTGTTTAGAGCAATCTCAATGCCAGGTATATTGAGAATGCCCCATGATTTAGTTTATTTTTCTTTTCTTTCTCCTCTCCCCTTCCCCCTCCATTCCTTTCCTACTCCTTTAATTTAATTTAATTTGGGGGGGTAGGTACTAGGGATAGAATACAGAGCCTTGTGCAAGCTGGCAAGCACTCTACCACTAAGCTACATCCTCAGCCTTTTTAGATTTTGAGATAGAGGGTTGCCAAATTGCATAGGCTGGGCTCAAAAACTCGCACTCCTTCTACCTTAGCTGCTGAGTAGCTGGGATTATAGACATGCACCACCACACCCAGCTTAGTTTATTTTTCTATTACTAACAGAGTTTTGAGGGACTGGGAGAAAGGAAGCAGGTACATGGGGGAAAGAGGTGACCTCCTCCAGGACCATGAGAGAAAGGGAAGCAGCCAGGGGCTCGTAACCTAGCTCTCTCTCTGCAGCTGGACAGCAACATGATCTGAGGAGATGAGATTCATTCCCCAAAGACTGCTGGAAGTTGGGACGAGAAATTGGAGGAAAAGCAGATCCTGGCCTGGAAGCACAGGTTTGGGTGCATCATAGGGTAAAATACCATGCAATCATGAAAATGGCCATTGTGAGGACTGCAGCAACACAGAAGAGTTTTGTAGTATATTAAGGAAAAAATGCAGAATACAAGTGCTATGTGGAAGTGTGTGCCTGTGAAGAGAGAGCAAGGGACTCAGAAAAGTGGAAATAGTTGTGGTAGTAGGGTAGGAATGTGGTTTAGATAAGATACATTTGAGTTTTCTTAAATGGGGTCATAATATGCAGATTAAAACAGAATGAAAATCAAAACCGAAGGGCCCTAGGGCTGGGGTGGGGGGATGACAAATACAAACCAATGCCTCAGCCAAATCAACTGTCAGTTCTGTTCACTGGATCCCCAAAACTTTCCCTTGCTTAGAGAGCTGATGAGAAAGAGCAGGCGGTTTGGGTGGGGATGCTTGGAGAAACCCAAGGGAGAGCAAAGGGTCAGCAGATCCAAAGCTGCTCAGGCTGGTACCTGTGCTAGGAAACAGGCAGAAAGACATGTATGGCAATGCTCTTATAATACAGAAAATCTAGCATCAACAATGGAGCAGACTGACTGTCACAGGTATGCAATGAAACATTTTCCAGTACTGATGATAAATGAACTAACTATAAATACCAATAAGGATCAATCTTGGAAACATAGTGTAAGTGAGAAAAGCGAGTTGCAAAAATGCTATTACAGCATAACAGCATTTTAAGTATGCTTCTAGAAGATACACCAAGAAAAAGTAGATATTATTCATGGAAACATATATATGAAAAATGTGAAAACAGCTTATGAAGCTACACATGAAATGTATGGCAGTGTTCCCCCAGGGAAGAGGAAGGAAGAAGCCAGGAGAGTAAAAGAACTCTTGCCTTTGTCTATAATAATGCTCCCCATTCATTTATGTTTTTCCTTATTTCATTTTTTTGGGGTGCTAGGAACTAAGCACAGGACCTTATGCTCATTGGTTTATATTTTAAATATCTCAGCAAAAATATCAATTTTGGGTGGTACCACATGGGTGTTTATTACATGATTCTCTGTCCTTTCCTGTTTTTTCTTCTTTTTTATATTCTCAGAATTAAAGATGACACACAAAAAACCACAAGTCTGCCCCCAGCCTGCCCTTGCCAGCTGATAGGACTGCTCCAAACAGCCCACACCAGCCCTCTCCATACTGAGATGTGCCTACAAAAATGTGAGAATGGGCTGCGTGTCCGCTCCTGATGAAAAGATAAAAGCTCCAAATGTGTTGTTTTTATTTATATCTACAGATTCTCCCTCAAATTTATTTTTTGAAAGGGCCAAGAGGGGAAAGGAAAGAGGAGAATGGAGGGAACTAAAAGAGGAGGAAAGGAAACAAGGAAAGGGGAAAAGAAAGCAGAAGGAGAAAGATGGACAAAGAGGAAAAGAAACAGAAAACTACTTGCTGGGACAGCAAAGGGCCCTCACACTTTGGCCTCC